AGCGAGTTGCCGCATAGTTCCCCTACCGATTAAAGCCAGTTTTGAATGCGATGCCCCGTCCCCTAAGCTCCGTCCGAAGATAAGAAGCTCCGGTACGCTCACTGGACATTCCGGAACACATGAGGGAGAGGGCGAAGAGCCGACCTGTTCAAGGAAAGATAGCTGGGGATGTCGAGCGATTCAGGCTCGAAAATTCGCTCCCCCGCTCGCTCGCTTTCTACCGGAAGGAGGACAATGGACAATGCCGCGCGGCCGCCGTCACTGTCTCAAGACGAATGCTATTCTGTTTCATCCATGTGTCTTCTTCCCTTGGTTCCACCTCCTTTGTTCTTTGCTTTAGCCTCTGCTCCCCCCTTCATGAGCCATCTCCTCGTCGGCCGCCAAGTTTCAAGTCTGGTAGGTATTTAGAGTTGTTCCTCTCTCGCCGAAAGTCGAGTACGACGAGGGGGAAGAAGCTCGCATCCAAGGGGAACCCTGACGCTTTTGCTGCGCTGCCGACCGGGACCACTGTGAAAGGAATGACTTTGAAATTAAATTTGCCTTTGGTTCTCGAACGAGGCAGCCACCCGTCTCCGGGCTTTGTTCTCCTCGCTGGCAGCGGCGCGGCGGCTCGAGCACGAGTCAAAGTGGTTGGTCTCTTAGCTGCCGGATCATCAACATCATTACCATGCTCGGCGGGGCGCGCCGGAATTCGATGATCTGCATCGCCGTGTATTGAATCATCAAGCGTCTAAATCGAGTCAAGGGCTATCCTCCCACAACTGAATGTGAGCGATGGACATCAAAACATGCGCCTCGGGCTCCGAACCTCGGAACGCTTGACTTTCCTGCTTCGTAGAGAGGGTTTCAGAAAGAAGCTTTCCCGAGCGTGCACCGCACGCTCCAGCGGATCCTGCACCATATGCTCCGGTTTATTGACGTGAGATATTTCCGCAAAACCTCGGATCCGTTCAGGAGGGAGCGGCGGCGGCGGCGGCAGCGGCGGCAGCGAGCCGAGATAGCCGGGGAACGATTCTGAAAACTGAGCACGGAGAAGAAGGCCTGAAGGGTTATCGACAGAACTATCGCACCTGAGCGGCTGAGTTCAAAACCGCATTCGAGAGAGTCGGACTCCTCTTCGGACGCAGGGAGCCGGTTCGATTGACCAATGAAAACGTGGTCAATGTTTCACGGATCGATTGGAAAAATAAGCTCTCATAAAACTTGGCTCCCTCCAGGAGGGAATGAATAGAAACTTGTGTTGTACCCCAGGGAGAATCTCGGGAATCGAGTGCACGATCGGAGAACGCTCACAAGGGTCCGCTCTCTCGCTATAAGTGCCGCCAGCTGCCCTCGATAGGGCTCTGCATCGCTTCCAGCTGGTCATCCAGTAGGACGAGCAGTTCTCAATTTCAATATGTCTAGCGGCAATTAAACGATATCGATGATGATTGCTCTCTCGCTCAAATAATCTCGGAGGAGGAAGACGGTGGTCGGCGTACGAGACCGACGACGGTCGAGCATGGACGAGAATTCTCGACGGGAGGGCTCTTCCGATCGGGATTTTCATATGCCCCCGTGTGAATTTCCCTCCTCGAGATCGCTGAGTCGATATTTGACTCGATTGAAAAACCTGAAGAGGGAAGGAATTCAGCCTTCGATGTTGTCTTGGTGAGAAATCGGAACCACCGCGTTTAATTCGAGATTCAAGGGCTCCTGTCTGACCTGACCGTCGGTGAGACTAATCTCCTACGGAGACGAGCTGTCGATAAAATAATTCGGACAAATCCCGAGTGATGCAACGGAGTGGATTTCAACCTGTCTCTAGTCAGTTTAGACTTTCATCGTTCCGTCAAGGATGTCGCGGCGGGTCCTCGAGAAAACACCCTTCGTAACCAGAGGGAAGAGGAGAGCTGTAGCTGTGAAGTGCGTTCGGAAGAGTCTCCGTGAGGAGCCCTTATAATAGAGGTCGGCGGAATCGTTCGGTCGAAAATTGCTCGTGCAATTGTAACGCGGAACTGGGTGTGGCCGCCGTTGGCGTTGCCGCCGCCGTCGTCGTCGGAGTAAGTGGATGAAAGTTGTCAGAGTGCGAAGCACGGCTTCAAGGAGTAACTGGAGAAGCAACGCAATCGAATGACTCGAGCAGGACGGCTTGTCCGAGTCAGGGTCGAGGAAGGTCAGAGTGGGCAGAGGAATAAAGAAGGTCCAAGGAGGAGAAGTGGGTGCGACGGCTTGTTTGGAAAGTCATTCCGTGAGCGCAACCTCGACTCAAGGAATCGCTCCTCACGCCGTTCCACCGTACCGGGCGTTGCCGGACCTTCGGCTTGATCAGGTCGATTGGCCTCGCGGATGGTCAGGAAGGGATAATATACGGTGGAGCAGAAGCAGCCGCGTAGAGAACAATGATCATTTGAGGGCTCGGCCAGGCATGGAGCCGACTTGGGGGTTGGATGGGGAGGGGAAGGGGTGGAGAAAGGAAAGGCGCACAGATTCCACTTGCTCGCCTTCGGAACGGCTGCGGCCAACGACTCATTGACCTCTCGCAGATGAAGGCAGCCGAGCAGACGACGACGATGAGGAAAGAAGAGCGCCACCACGGCGGGCACGGGACTGGGGGAAGAAGGACGGAGAATCTGTTGGAGGGGGGAAGGGAGCATGAGGGCATAAATAGAATAAGAAAAGAGATTTCGAGTAGAATATGGGAACGGAATGAGGGAGAAAGAAGAAGACGGACGAAGAAGGAGAGTACGAAAGCGACGATGAGTGATACTTGAATGACGTACAGCGTCGGTTGGTGCGAGGAGAACGAAGGAAAAAAAGAGGCAAGTGAAATGGTCTGGTCGGCGGGGAACAGAAAGGGGTGCTCGACTGCTATGCTTGCGGGGAGACCTAGACAGCCAAGCAACCGTCTCGGCTTCAATAGCGCGGGGACTATATGAAATAAACGAGGCGAATACATGGGGCCTCGCCAGTGGTGGTGACGGAGGTCGCCTTCGCTCCGAATCTTTCGAGGAGAATATGAAGCATCGCTCGGTGCTTCTGCTACACATACTTATATGAAGCCCCGCTCCGATGCTGTCGCCGACATCGAGCAGAGCCCACATTCTACCGTACAGCTACACGGAATTGTTATGGAGATTTCTCGTGGCATCTCTCGCCGGAAACGGCGACGTAGCGTGTGTGTGTGGTGGGAGCGAGGGATCCGGAGCTGGTAGAAACTGACCTACGATTGTCAGTGGACAGACCGAGAGGCCGAGGGACAGACTCGAGGGGCTTCTGCAGTTTCCTCCTCCGTCGCTGTCTCTTGCTATCCGGATAAGGCCATGGAGCGCAGTGCGGGGACAAAGCTCGCTCCGGATATCGCTGTACGTTAAAATCCATTGGAGCTCGGTTCCACGCTCGCTGCCGGAGCAGGGGAATGGCAACATCGAGAACAAGAGCGCCGCCGTCGGACCCGCCCGCCGTCTTTCGGGAGATGATAAGTTGATCGCTGCCGCGCGGCATTCGGAGTGAGTCAAAGATAAGAATCTTTTTCTTCGCCGGTAGCGCAAATGCTCCATCGTCCGTCGGGGCGAAGAGGCAGCGGCACGGCGGAAATAGTGAGAAAAACCGAGAAGAAGCGGCCTTCCTGTCTGCTCGCCCGCAGGCTTTAAACGCATGGTGTTGGAAGAGACACCGCGTGCGGATTCCTCGACGCGAAGTACGATATGGGAGCAATGGAACACGCGAAATGAGTGCGCGCGCGTGCTCGGGAGAGATCGACCGGCAGCGATCAAACAACAAGCGACGCATGAGCCCGCGGGAGCTGCGACGGATCGCCTTTGCCATCGGCGGTATCGTTCGACCACGAGGACAAAGACGCCTGGCGACAACGAACATTATCCGCAAAGCACATCAGCAGAACGCCCGTTTGATGGCTAGGGACTTTACTCTCCGGCCACCGCCGCCGTGGCAAAACGGTCGCCGCGCGTAAGTGTGCGTATAAACAACGAGACGCCGGTCGACCGGAGGAACTCCTTCGGCTTCCTCAGTCGCAGGTGGCTGACGCTGAGCAGCTATAACCCGATTCCTGGACTCTTGCTGATATTCCCCCCTGCCGTATCCGCTCTCTGGACACTCCTAATAATCCCTCTGGCGCCCTTACCGGCCGAACGTTCTTTGTGTCTGGAACCCCTCTTCCTCCGCAGACATTGATGTAGGACACGTCCTGGATGCAGTGTATGTGCGTACCACGCAAGTTGAGCCAGCGAGTCGGTCCCTACTCACGAGCCAACGAACAAACGCTCTCTCGGCACCAAATGAAGACATTTGAGAGTACATGCACGCAGACCCGTCCGCCTAGCTGTCCGGTGCCGCACTCCGGACGGCTGGTTGACGGCATGCCTGCACGCATGCATAAATTGAAGTCGGTCGCTGGTAGCGGCGGTCGCCATGGAATCGTCCCTCGTCGGCTTACTCGCTCGGTCATATGCCGCCGACGCTATTCAAGCGGCTCGAACCGTCTGTACGCTGTATATAGATGAGTTTCTGCTCGATTCATGACTCGATCACTCGATTCGGCCGGCAGCAGACTCATTTCTCCGAGTAGTCTTCGGTCTTCTTCTCTTGCGACTTTCTCCCGTTTTTTTTCTCGCCTAATTTTCGCCGTAGGCCCACGATATTCCCCTTCGCTGCTCCCCTCTGCCTTCTCTCATGGATGAGCAAGGGTTCCGTTCGGTCATTGATACGGCTCACAGTATCATCCCGTCGATGTCCGGCTCGTTAATGACTTATGGCGTTGTTATGACTTATGACATACGGTATCTTTATGCCAAGACATACCATCGTAGTAGGCACGTCGCCCTACGATAGTTCGTTGCTTCACTTCCCGACTTGACGCGACTGCTCCTTCCGTGGAGAGAAACAAGCTTCCGGAATGCATTCCCGGAGCGAAGCCATCAATTCATGATATGTGTCTAACGATGATTATACTCGCACGATGCTTGCCCGCAGTAACACTCGACCTTTTTCTCTCTTTACAGGGTCGATGCAATAGGGAGAAACCCCCCTGCAAATACTTCCATCCCCCACAACATCTGAAAGACCAACTCCTGATAAACGGCCGCAATCACTTGGCACTTAAAAATGCTCTCCTCCAACAGATGCCGTTGCAACTGCCTATGCCGACCGCGGCTCCGGCCGGAGCTGCAACGATGGTGAGAATGAAATTATTATCCCCGTTCGTTTTTCTCTCTGTCGCGATTTCTCACCCTCGCCGCGGTGTCGAAGCATGTCTGATATGTGTGGATGCGTGGATGTTCTCGATCGATCGTCGGATTGATTTTTTCCCTCGATTTTGCCTCTTCCTTTGATTTTCTTCCCGTGAAATCATTTCTCGCGGAAGCTCCGGTGCGAATGATTTTTGTGAACGTTGTTGATCTCGTCGATTCTAATCATTTGCGTAGCCGGCTTGAGGAAATGACGTTTCGACAAAATGTTGCTGCACGCTAGAGCTGCACGACGCTGCGAAGTGTAGACTAGTTGATGGTTGATGTTTGGTTTCGTAGGTAAGTCCGTATTCTTCTCTGGCTTGGAGAATGCCCATTGCTTACAATTCCGCGACTGCACATGGTTCGCACAGCGCACTTACCGTCGACTACACAAAGGTAGGTTCCACCACCCAGAGCACTTCTGCACATGAAGGGGCATTGGCTTCAGATGACTGGTCCACGCTTAGCGTTCGACGTCCGGCTCCCGGGCTGGGCGGAAGAGAAAATCCGACCGACGACGTCAACGACAAAGCCGAGCGGAGTCGTTGACGTCGAGAGGAGGAGAAATCTCAAGTACCGAGCGGATGCTCCTGCGCAATTCACTAATTGCTTGTTTGCCTGGAAACTGGAAGCCCAAGTCGATTCTGTCTGATGTCGACTAACGACAGCAGGACCCGTTCCAGGCTGCAAACCCATACATGCCCACTCTGATGGCATCACCCTACTTGACCGGATTGCTACCAGGAATGATGGCCACAACGGCCGCTGAGCCCACCGCTCTAATGACACCGACGACTTTGATCTCGCCACAGAAGAGGACGGATCGACTTGAGGTGAGTATCGTTATGCCGACCCAACAATAAGACACACCGCCACTGTCACCCTTCTATTGCGCCGCCGCGCCGGAGCCGCTGTTGCAGACTTGTGATCTTGGCGGCCATCGGCTTTCGGATCCAGCAACAAACGTCCCCCTGATTCCCTGGGAAAATGTCGGCCGTCGGGAAGCGTCAATGGAGCGTTGGCTTCGCAAAGTATCATTGATATGATAGAGCTCGAATCACACTGGGGAAAAGAAAGTCCGAAGCTATCGGCTATCTGATCACCTCCGGAACTTGGACAGAAATATGAAAAACATCCCGCGAACGAAAACTTGCCGAAAGCCGCCAACTTCCGCATTGCCGACCGCAATGTCGATCCGTTGGCGATCGCATCGAATGAGAATCGACAAACGACTCTGATCGCCCCTCGAGATTGGCCTCGAATTCTCATTGATTACGTCGCCGTCAATGCCGATTCTGGTGTTGTCGTTGTGACTTTTTTTCCTGTTTGGTCTTCTAACGATGCTTCACAGAGCTCGCTTCGCTGGCGGCCGTCGCTACTGCTGCTGCTGCTGCGGTTCCACATCTCCAGGCTAAGGCAACGCTGCTTTAACAACCTCCTTTGCTCAATCTGCTCTTTCTCTTGGTGTCGTTTCCGTCTAGGTGTGCCGTGAGTACCAACGCGGTAGTTGCAAGCGCGCCGAACATGACTGCCGCTTCGCTCACCCGCCAGAGCACGTTGGCCTTGAGACGTCACCGACTCAAGCCGCGTCTGGGGTTTGCGACGTCACCGTTTGCATGGACTATGTTAAGGGACGCTGCGCTAGGGAACAATGCCGATACTTCCATCCGCCCGCACATCTCCAGGCTCAGCTTAAGGCAAGGGTACGCAATCGCCGCGCTGGAGCTCCCTGTATTCCCTCTCTAAGCGTCACCCCTGTCCCTGAGTCTCCTCCCTTTTTCCTTTCCTCCCCTAATTCCTGACTCTCCGGAGACCTTCTCTCCCGAGATTTTCGTTACGTCGCGTCAACTCCGTCAAATGTCACGCCGTCCCGGCTACAAAGATCCTCCCTCTTTTCCCCCTTCTGTGTTCCTCCATGTTGATACTCTTTGCTGCTGTTCCCCGATTTTTACCCGGCCGCCCCGACAAGTTACATGTATCCTCGAATCCCCGGATTATTTTTGTAACCCTCCGGGTATCGTTCTCTCCTTCGACCTCCCTGATCGTCAAAAAACTTGTTCCGACCTAGTCCTCAGAGTAATCTTCCCCTGTACCCAATGATTCCCGTTTCCTGATAATCATGAAAAACGCTCTCTCCTTCACGTCCGATCACCTCATATACAATTGACCCACTGGAGAACAAGAGATTACCCCATCGAATCACCTCCCGTCCCCTCTCGATGTTATCGCTGCTGCTACATATTGTTGGGGCAGTTGCCATGACTTCGATTTAGTCAATGCCGACTTCGGGTTCTAACCACACAATCATGAAGGCTCGGTGCTGTGGGTTTCCCCAATCCGCCACCTGTGTAACATTGCTTGAGGTTAATCTCATCTCCCAATCATCGTCGTGGTTGATGTTGCTATCGTTACACTTCTTATTGATTTTGCGGTTTCTCGCGCGACCTGACGCTTAATGCCGCTAGCATAACCTGCCCTCAAAAATTGTAGTACGGTAGAATCCGATCATGGCTGGCACATTCCATGCAGCGTAACTAGGGGCGTAGCCGATCGGTCAGATCAGAATCCACTACCTTCTAGTCTTCAGACGGAGCCTCTCGCTGAGGCTCTTCTGAATTTCTCCGTGAGAGCTCACCGCAGAAAAGTGGGGAGCATCCACTTTGTGCGCGAGCCCACCGTTCATTCTCCGATTTACATAACCCATCCCCTTTTTCGATCCGATGAAATGAGAGAACGGCGGGAATCAGATGAGGGGAATCGCTTAATGCTCATTTTTGGGGTCATCGTCGTCGAGTTCCTACATACGCACATCAAACATACTAGTCATGAATCTCATCATTCGTCTTGAGGTTATACTGTTGTCGGAATTCGGACCATTTCAAGAAAATCTAACTTGATTCTTGTTTTTTATTATTCCATCAATAAAGGACCAGAACACGCTCCAGCAAAACACGGACACCACGGGATTGACCCAAGTAAGTTCGATTCCGCAGGAGCATTCTTCATATTTGACAAACGTTGAGTTCCCACATTCGTCAACAACTCCATTAGCGGACGAAACTGTAATTAGTCTTTTCGGACTGTCCACCAATCTCTGTTCCTCTGAACCACCGAAGCCAGGGCAACAATATATCTTCCCGATGAGTCTTTTTTCTACCGAAGTTCCTCATCCCCACTCTTGATAGTACTGTATCTACATGGAATCGAATAGTATCTGCCTTGAAAGTGGGGGGGAACGACTTCCCGAGATAGAGCGTTCCGGAATGGGTAAATCCCAAGCCGCTCACTTCCAGAGCTTTTCCATAGTCTTTCGGAGATTTTTCAACTGGGAGTCCTCCGATATCATCTGTTTCAAAAATGCCTTAGTCTGGCAGTATTCGGCGCTGCAGATGTTCAGAGGTTAGGAGGTGCGGTCCGTTAAGATTTAGACCAGCTAGCTCCTCAGCTTTGCTTCGCTTGTAGAACGCTTCGTTTTCAGTTTCGCTTTTTGATTCTGTAAGCATCTTACGAAAATCCGAGTTATTCTGAAGCTCTCGCGGGACCCATCGCAGAGGGGTCCCCCGCACGTCTTTCAACTAAAAATTATTCCCGAAGCTGAACCTCCATTCGAGAATCGATAGCCTCACCCGCCGCTGCCACCACCAGTAGTTAGCCACCCGCGCTCAGCCGCTGCCTCTGCCATTGTTGATAGTTCTCCGAAAACCCTAAGCGCGCAAGGAACTTTCCTGCCTTAATAGCCTATAACTTGGTAAATCAGCTTCCGCTAAAATTGAGTTCGAGCGTTTCCTCTTCGAATTCTGTTCACATTTTGATCCTGTCGCATGATCGCGCGATCAGTCGATCGGGCGATCAGTCTCTCCGCTTGCTCGCTTTACGCTTACCGCGAGTCCCTGCTGGCTAGTTCGCTCGTTTGAACATAAATCATCGTCGAATCAGTATCTCAGTCGTAGATATGTCTCGGAAAACTCTCGCTTTGCAGCAGCAGCAGCCGCCGCCGCCGCCACATCAGCTTCTTGTCGTGTTTTAATGTCCGGTGTCAAACCAGCCAACAGTTAGGCTTCACGATATCTCAGAGCTTTTAGACATCGTGTCGATATAGGTACACGAAGGGAATAGGTAATCCCTGGCGAGTATGGCTGCAGGATTAATGGGACGGCCGCTAGTGTCTGGTCCGAGCTCTAACAATGGCTGGTCTGTTTCGTTAATCATTCGTGTCGAAGGTCTGTTTTATATACTACTCGGTATCTGGATGTGCGTCCGCTTGTCTGCCTCGTCTCTCTACCGCTAAACTCTCAGAGATCTTCGTTTTGTCCCTACCTCTTCCCCTTGCATTCAATCGAACAGCCATCGGAAATCCTCAGACGCTCCCTCCGGATTTCATGATCCTGTCTTGGATTTTGTCCGTTTCGTTATAGAACGCTAATTTTACCGATCGATTCTCGGGGCGTCTGCGATTCGCCCGAGCTCCGAGTCGCTATCCCTGCAGTCTCCGGAGCGAAGCTATCTCCTCGACCGAAACCAGAATTCATCTTCGAAATTTTCTCGTATGCCATCGCGCCATGAGAAGACACACAGTTAGTCAGACAAACGGAGCGGCACAGACAGCCCGATGACACCGCCTGCTTTGTCTTATCAAGCGATTCGCTCCTTCTTATCGATAGATGCTCTCATGGTCTCGTTTCCAACTTCAGAATCTATACGCTCGAATCTAGCTCTTGTCCGAATCTGCTGTTTGGCTTCTGATCGTACTACCTTCCAGCTTCTACCTATTTGTGATTGAAGGAAAAAACGCTTCTATTTTCTTCCTAGAAATCCAGAGTGAAAGGCATTCAGCTTGACGAGACAAGGCGGTCTCATATAGTCTTCTATAATTTATATGCGGAGAATCTCTTTCATGAACATACTTTAATTTGTTGTTCTATGCTCGGTTTCATCAACATCCTCATCGGACTTCGACGCTTTTTTGATCATGTAGTGCCCAGAATTTGAGTTTGGGTAAAAACACGAACCGCCATTCATTCACCAGCCCGAAAATTCGCCCCACCCGCGGCGAGAGTCGAAATCTTCGGGTAGAAGTCCTGAATCTCACTGAGGGAGACTCTCGTGAAGTCGTACTTACTTAGTTGTGAGCATTGCCCTCCCGGCGGGGTAGGACAGACGTTCTTCGTGGCTCGTCGGCCGGGGAGGGAGAGCCTCGGATGTTCAAGTTTGGAAATCTGCTTTGATGTGTCGTGGACCTGCTGTTGGCTGGCATAGCTCCGAGCTCTAGGTTCCTCTGAAACGTGTTCTGATTCGACGATAAAAGTATCCGTTGGTAAACCGTTTGGCTAGGCTGGATGTATGGGTTCATTGGCTGGTTGGTGAGTTGGTTGGTTGGTTGGTTGACTGATTGGGATGGACATAGTGTATTTTGATTTGTGTTCTTCTTTCTTTAATTTAGCATTCGTCGCCCGTGCCCGCAAGCAGCGTGCCAACGATGCCTTCCTCGATGCCGGCGTTGTCGTTAAGCCCGATGAGCATGGCAGCTATGGGAAGCTACCAGACCGCCGCCCACGCCCAGAGCGTTTCCCACGCCACGACGTTGAGTCCCAGTTCGATGGTAACAGCGCAAGCGTTCACGGCTCAGGCCCAGGCTCAGGCGCAGCTGTTGTTACACCAACAACAACAGCAGCAGCAGCAGCAGCAACAACAACAACACCAACAATCTGTTACATCGGGAGCAACGGCGGGAACGATGGGTGTGGGCGTAGGTATGGGGGCTCACCCGGCGTATGCATCGGCCACTTCCGGAACCGACGTTGCCGCAGCAGCAGCCGCCGCCGCCGCCGCAGCAGCCGCCGCCACTACGGGGGGTCCGCAAGCCAAGAAGAGGGCCCGAGACGCTGAATCTGAACTCTTACACCTGGTACTGCTCGCTCGCTCTTTATGCTTATATAGTCTTCGACTTCATACGGAAAAGAAACACACGCAGACACTCGCTCACGGGGAAGAAACCTTGCACTTTCCGATCACTCCGACGATACGGACACTAGCGTTTGGTGACATTGTGGATCCTCCAGACGAGGAGACGGACTAGCCGCGCACTGTTCGATCCGCCGATTCAAGAATTCAGACCTCAGACTCAGATGCTGTGTCTTCGCGTTATCGTGAAAAGAATCGTGACACCGTGTGATCCGCACAGTCACGCCTCGAGATGGGCTTGCTCGCTCGAGATCACTGCAAACGCAAGCTTTAGTATCCAGCACCCAAAACTAGAAGCTCGATCGTGGTCTAAAAGACCGAGTCTAGGTTCGACTAGGGCATAAGAGAGGAACACGGAACAACTCACACGAACTCACAGAACTCACTTCCACGCTACCTGTCTCGCCTATTGTTGCCGTGCTGGGCGCACCGCATCGTATCGAAAAGTACTCTCCGACGTTGCTTCGATACTCTAACACCATTTAAAAAATCTTCCGAGAGAAGACTGAGTTCTGCCGTTCAACTGCATGTCACACGAATCGCTCTTTTGCCGGGGCGATTCATTTGCCGATTCCGATCCACTTCCGGGACACATTCGTCAACATGGAAGAGTAAAGAGAATAGAAGACCATCAACCTGCTATGTCGATTCCGTAGACTCTCGGCAGTTCGTTGATGGGTCAGAAGCCCGCGTGCTGCACGGTTACGTTTTCGTTGCCTTCTTGGAACGCTGAACCCTATTTTCTTGATATTATGTTTTCTCCGTTCCGGTTTTCGAGCTTGTCGATGTCAGTTTTCTGTAGAAAAAATCCTCTCTCCGAATCTCCCATGAAGGCAGAGACCCCGTCGATTTGCGGAGCTCTCCGCATCTCCGGTCGGGGGCCATGCCATTCTGATCATAGGGCGAGAAGAGACCTACGAGAATGTCGACAGGCAGAAATCGAAGCTTTTCCGCCGCAAACGCTCGTTTCTCAACTTCTCTGTGTTAGGCCGGTACTGCTGCTCATGTCTGATTGATTTTGACACTCGTCAGCGTTTCGAAGTCGAGAGGCAGGAAATAACACTAACCGAGGTCGTGCTTGTACTCCGTGCGCTCATCATAACCCCTGCCCGAATCGGCGGCATTGGTTCCTCTCTCACTTCTTGGCCGAGTGTTCGTTTTGTTTTGTCTGATCGCAGCTCGATGTCGGAGATATATGCTATCAGTGCTCACCCTCGCTCTTCGAAAGGCACCTTTGGCCGATGGCTGGGTAGATAACGCGCTGATCGCTGACAATTTTCCCGCTAATGTTTGACGGCAAGTAGCATAACAGAAAGCATTGAGGCAACGCAATACTGCTGCTGCCGCTGCCGCCGAAGCTGCCACTTCCACCATTGCAATCGCTGGCGAGCGGAATTTTCGAGATGCATGGAGGAAGAAATGAAGTCCTGAAAGCAACGAGAACCAGTCACGCCTTTCGCGCGCAAGCAAACCGAAAAAATCGTGTGATTGATGCTAGATCAGCAGTCTTGCGTAGTATCCTCAAGAAATCTCACAGTGAACAAGCTCAAGTACTTGAACGATGACGATCAACTGCGTTGTTCGTCGGTCGTATGCGGTCTCGTGTCACGAGACTCTGCCTGCTGTGACCAGCTCATCCGTACCAAACAACTAAATCCGACGCAACGTTTCAGGCTACGCTGCCAGGCATTGTGCAATACAAACGCCCGGCTCTTGAAAAAAGCGGTGTTCCTGTGTACCAACCATCTGCCACAGCTGCCGCGGCAGCTGCCTATCAGCAGGCTGCATTGGCATTGCAGATGCAACAACAGTTCGTTCCTGTTTCTTGTGAGTATAATTCGACGATTACTTCTTTCCCGGGGAAGTTTGTTTCCCGATCGATGAGCCAAGTGTGAATTCCGAATGTCTGCGGCAGTGTTTGAAATGCCGACCACCACACCTATTCACATATCATTCACTCCTCTTATCGTCACGCAATCCGCAAATGAAGCACATGAAAAAATGAGACAAATCCGTAGATCGTCGTCCACCCATCAAGCCTCGACGCACTCCTCCCCAAATAGAGCAGAGCTCTCTTCTCGTAGACTGTAGAATATGAAACTCCGCTGACTTAGACGCCTGACAACTTGTTATACGCCTCACGCATCTACCTCCCATGCTGGCCCTTGAACCCTCTGACGGATGGTACCGTAGAGATCCCGTTGTTTCCGCGCTCTATCCCTGCAGTTTCTACCGAAGACCCTCCTCATACATGAAACAGAGCCCTTTTTGACCTTGAGTTCCTTCCAAACTCTCACCTTCTTCCCGCATCTCCTCTCCGCACCCATGACCACCACCGACCCCCGAGACGAAACTCCTTTCCCGACCTCCAAAGGGGGCCTGGCTCGACATACAGTGGAATCCGCTGAAACGACCTGTTTCGGGACGAGATTTTTTCTTAGAAGTGGCTTGGTCTGATAGTCTGGCCTGCATTCCAAACCCATCGATGACTTTTTTCCCGACTATCGGGAATATTTTCCTGGTCCCCTGGTATTGTAGAACCAGAGGCGAAGATATTACGCTCGAAGCAAATCTCCGTAGGATCCGTTCCATGGCCAATGTCTGTTTTGCGCGGGTAGGTGAACGTGCGAAGCTTTGACGCTCTCGTCAGTTGCCTCTCTTAGAGCCTGATTCTGGCTTACTAAGGATACCTTCAGAGGTCTCGATGAGGGGGTTCTCAAATGAGGCTTCAATCGCGCATCAATAGAGTTGTTCCTCACCTTTCATCTCTTGCTGAAAACTCGCGCATCTATGGATAACGCTCGATCAGCTCGGACCGAATTGGTCTCGATGCGGATTTTCGGGCCGATGAACTGGATCAAAACAGCTTTTACGGCATCATGATCTCCTTGGAATCAGTGTAGCGATCACTGCAGCTCGCCGTACTGGCCGGTTAAGAAGGTTGCACTGTTTTCATTCCCGGAAATTTGATATTGAGAAAGGATCACGCGGGGAATTCGCAGTCGGGATAGTGAGCCCCGATGGCGAACACTGAATCACCCCGGTTGGATTTTGAAAGAAACTAACGAATTTTTCGTCTCGGCGCTTCCTCTTCCATGGAACTCCTTGGCCTTGTCTTTCCCTCATCACTTAATGCACCGACCTTTTCCTCCACCCACCTACGAAACCTCTGAACCCACCCACAACCCATGCCTACGCAACCCTACGTACAAATATCGAATCACCTCTCCGACCCATCGAATCCACTGACCATACCTTAGTTCCCATTGGAAGCTCGTTGGGTACCCAGCCCAATCTGCAGAGCAACATAGCCGCTTCAATCCAGCATCTCCATGATGTGAATTACTGTGATAGTAACGGACAGGTATTCTTGAACGGAGTCTATGACCGTGTTGAATTGTTTCCCTTTTAGAGACGAAGAAAAACCGTCCGTAGATAATCCCACGCCAGACAAATTGTCATCTTGACGGCTGAGAGACGACAAGTAGATAGAGACGTCGAATGGGAGCGAATGATTCCTTCAAACATAGAGTCTTTGTTATGGATGCGTTAACTCAATTCGTTTCCATTCCGCATCATCCGATGAACATGCGTCGTCATCATTCATTACAACAGAGGCTCCACTGTCCTTACACAGTACCATACTTGGCGAATTACGTAATGAGAAGAAAACAGTCGGTCTATCAAACACATTGCATACTGCCCTCCTCGGATATACGATCAGACCTGTCAGTCGAACCCATCACCATGGATTAGTATTGCTCTTTCTTCGACGAACACCAATAACTTTACAAATATTCCGTCTCGACTTCGGTCGAGAAGGAGCAGCGACACGCGCTGACGAAAATTCACAACGTTCTGAGAGGAATGGTCGAAACAATCTGACACAACTCTCTATGTTCGTAGACAGTAGAATTTTCTCTCTAATTTATGCATGCCGTTTCGTCCTTAGATCTCCGGTACCCTGGGGACGTGTATAGGTTTTCGTAGATCTAAGGGATGCTGCCTGCTGCCCGATTCCGACGTCCGGCCCGTTCGGTTTCCGCACTCGTTCAGCTTTAGCATCGTCGCAGCTTTAAATGGTAAAGGGTTGTCCGTTTTGAGTAGACCGTACTACTACTCCTACTGCCCCATCTCCCCAAACCACCAGCCCGTCCGCCAGTCAGAAAAAAAATCAGCGCCGAAGCACCCGCTCGCCTGCCCGTCTGAAATTTTATACGAAGCAATGTTGGCTCGCTTGCGTCTAATCAATCAGCTCAGAAATTGAGGCTGCCTTCTGCAGTACATCACTCATTGAGAGCATCGGAGCGCATGAACGCCGCCTACGCTCTTCGACTCGACGCACATCTCAGCAACTGATATCCGCAATCGTGTTTTACAGTTACTGGACACCCTGCCAGTCTGCCGAGATTTTAAGTCAGGCCAATGCAAGCGGCCTCAATGCCGTTACGTTCATCTCTGTGACGGTGAGTATCTACATACGTGCCGGTCCCGAGAAGCGGGAGCCTCCGGAGCGAATATTCGCACGGATGAGTGTCAACTCGAACGAACATATGTATCTCGTGAGGCTGTCGTCCCCTTCCTCTCAAGTGAGCCGAGCCTAACGGAGTGGCGTGTAATTTCAGATTTCGTCGAGGTGACTGATGGTCGTGTAGCGGTGTGCCGGGATGCGGCAAAGGGCAAATGTGTCCGACCCTTATGCAAATATTACCACATACCTCTCATGGTGCTACAGAACTTGCAGGCCCCGTGATGGCCGGAAGGCGCAAGGGCTGAGAATATTTTAGTCGTTCAGGGAGATGATGATCAATGTGTTGCCTATACCATTCAACAATTGAGTGCTACTATTCAAGTGATATAAACAAGTGACGGAGGATGAGACTTACTCGATGCGACGAATTCCAAAGAGTCTCGGAGGACCATACGATCGATGACCCGCAATGGAGAGAGGAAAAACAGGATACAATCCCAACTAGACCGACTTCAGTTCCCGCCGCCTGGGAACATCAACCATTTGGACATTCCGTTACTGTGACTCCGTCGTCTGTTTCGCCATCTATTCGTCTGGTCGATCTTGGCTCCGAAGCCGCGCGGAGGCGGATGAAGATGAGAAACCAGCTCTGTTCATGTTGTACGCGTCGAGGGCTAGCTCGTCGACATCGTGGAGATCGATTGCACAAGACCGCTCTATTTCTACACAACGACCCGGTGATATTGCGAATGGTACTATTTTGAAAGTGAGTCTTCAGTGAGTCAGCCAGATGAAGTCAAACGCTGAAAAGGCCAGAGATGAACTCACGTGCAAACAACGGCTATAACCCTCACGCGTGCAATGAAGAATACGAATAGACATAGGCAGTGAATGGATGATCCAACATATCCTTCTCCATCAGCGTCAACATCGCCGGCCGTAACTCCGACCGCCACCGCGTCGTCGAAGCCGTCCACCTCGTTGTCGGCGCTGGCAGCAACGAGGTGAAAAGGAAGCGAAGTCAACATCATCGACAGCGAGAACAACATCAACAACGATTGAAGTGTTAGCGGGAGAATAAGAATGTTGGCAGGAGCTCTTAAACTGCTCCTCTACCCAAGATCCAACTGTTCAGGGATTTTCGTGTTCATGGCCGTCGCACCGGAGAAGCCGAGGGTCTGCGCACTCTCAACTTAGACCGTTCCGTTCGATGATTCCACTCTCGAGCAGTACGTAGCGTACCCTTTGTATGTATGTAGTACTACAACTTCCGATGCGGCGGACTTGAGCATATTTAAACAAAGTAATCAACACACCATTATACATGACTATTACAACAACCTACTTCTAGTCGTTGGAAATACCTAAGCTATGCATTCAGATTAATCCACATACTACCATTATTAGTACCATGAGACCTCTTGGATTATCGACCGGCCGTATTACATGGATTTGCAGGGAGGGGGGCTCCGTAATTAGAACCTGCCGATATCCCGTGAGATCATTCGACTTGATCCAGATCGCGTTAACTCCTCGTTCATCTGCGATAGGGATGGCGTACGAGAGGAGAGAACGTGCCACGAGCGGATTCAACGGTATCGGAGAACCCTCACCTTGTATTTTTCTAGGGGAAAAGGGAGAAGTCACCACATGTTACGAGACACAGTGACTCCAGGCTAGGGAAAAGGACGGTTCTTCGCACGGCGATCGAGCGACTCACAGAGTGGTCGCTGTCCTGCGGTGCTATTCCACCTTTGGTGACCGAAAAGAAAACAGATGCTCGATCTGTTTCGGCTCGTCCCAGCTCCGCGCACGTTCGACCTACGACTCGTCGAAAGCGATGATTTTCCTCTGGAAAGGTTTCCGGAAATGTTCTGAATCCATGCATCCAAGCACACCCACGCAAACAGACGACATGGAAACATACACATTTATATACAGGAAGAATCTATGTATATTAGGAGGTATTTTGCCTCAACCACCCGAATCGAGTTCCCAGCGAATAGGAGAACACAAGGCGCATGGAGTGTGGACGAACAACAGCGAAAACCGGGAATACCTAAACACAACTACCAGGCAGGCGATTGTTATATACCTTATTTATACCGGACTTCGTAGACATCAATCCTACTGGGGTAGAGACTGACAATGAGCCACTTACAGAACGATAGCGAGGAAGAGGAAGCGATGATTCTATTCTTTTTCTGAGTCAGAGGGAGGAAGCGAATCCGATGGGAAGTTCTTTGACATCAACAAATTTGATCGGTCAAAAAGCCAACGTTCCAACAAGGATGACAACGCATGACGATTATCGTTCGGTATCGAGCGATATCTTCCGAAAGTGATTGTAGCGTCTATTTTGATTCGTAGACATTGTTTCAACGGCCCGGGAAATTCTACTATTCTTCTCTCGAGGGGTTATGATTGAGAGACCCAATTCATTGACCTATAACTAGAAAAAAGGTAATGTTTCTAACGATTGACAAAGTTCAGGCAATAATATACCTCTACCGAAGAGACAGGGAGACGAACACAAGCGACCGCAAGATTACGGGAGAGATAGATAGAAGATGATCCCTGAGTTCTACCAATGATCGGCGGTGAGACTGTTATCGAACAATTATTCTCAATTTTCGATCGTCTGTCTCGTGGATGACCGCCGGCCGATCGAATACTCTGTACCTGTCTCTCTCTCTCTCTCGATCTCTCTTGCTCATCACAAAGCCGTTATAGTATTAATATTGTCACAAATCTCCCCGATTTTTTCTCGTTCATAACTACTCTGGAATGGTGATGTCGGTAGATGAGTTCTAGCAAATGGATGGTGATACGAGACACCAGTTATTCATATGATACCGCCAACACACAAAAAGTGAACGTATACCTTTCCGGATCGGTTCGAGTTCAGACTAGAGGGACTCTTTAACCATCCGGAAACTCGATGCAACGATTTGTAAGGGTCGATTCCCGGGCTGACACAACTTATCCCGCGAGAGGTGGGCGCCCGCGTACGGCGATACAGTGGAACCCAGCCAGTGTTCCCCCTTGACCGAACCTGTTGTTGGTGTAGTTTCGTTTAGTTCAGAGTCTCCCTCGATTTCTGTTGCTCCTCGGATTATCCTCCTCTAATTGTCCTCACATTGACCTCTCCAGCAGTAGACTTTTTGATTCGACAAGCCGCGGCTTCAGACAGCCTGGTGACCGTTTGATATCGAATATGGTGTGAATAAGGTATATACAAAAAAGCGTGACACGAATCGTCAGAATTCCGGATCGGGCCGAATGAATTGAAGCCACCGTCGAATTCATCGGGTGATCCGCTCTCGGTTTCGCAACATAACAAATTAGCGCTATGAACCACGAACACAAGAAGGGGTGTCGTGAACAATCTCAAAGGGTTCAATGATCACAATGAGCGCGTCATTCCTTCGAGCTCAACGCGAGACAAAGTCCGGAACGGAATGCGTACCCAAAAAGGAAGGAAATTTTGCCGACAGACTGACTTGGTACGTGACGGCTATTCCGCGCTGGCCGGCGAAGAGAGTGGGATTGACGTTTTCGGAGAAAGAACTCACGGGGGTGAAGCGCGTTATGCCATGGTACGAGACGAACGTCAACAGTCTCCTTGAGTGTTCTCAATCTCTTTCGTATCACAGCTCAGGTATATCTTGACGTTCTGAATGTGTGGACTAGATGGGTTCCACACTAGGCTAATATACGGGAAGACTCGGGAGGTCAGTCTTCGGCGAGCTACATGTGCCGACGAAGTTTCCAAGCGTCTCGCTCGCCGAGGACGAGAAGGCTCGGCTTTGAGAAAAAGCCGCCGTAACGATACTAACAACCTTGAGTGACATAATCCAGTGAGCTCCGCGAGTTCGGCCGCCGACTCAAATCCCTGAGCGAAGAGTCACAGAAGCAACGTTTTGAACTCTCCGTAGCGTACTTGTAGACCGTAGCCTTTTGTCATATTTGATGTACCATATCTCGGGTAACATCATAAACTCAGGAGAGGAAGGCGTCGGCGAAAGCAGTCTTGCCCCGTCTTCATTCACCTACCTATATCAACCAATAAGTCGCAACGAATCCATCTCTCGGAATGAACTCCGACGGCACACAAGGCCCAATTCTGGCGGTGATCAAATCATCGTTCCCACCCCCTGACGAAGGATAGGTTTTCGAGAAGAGAGAGCACGACAGACAACAGGGAAAAAACATACACACACCCTCATACAAAACCGGTGATAATTACACCTACACACCTCCAATCCTTGAGACTTTGAGAGAATAGGACTCGATCTCAATTTGTGGACCTTCCGAGCACTCCGAATGCCTGTCGGTCGAGGCGCCAGGGAGTCGAAGGCATGCAATTTCAATGGTGATCTTAAAAATGCCCAACAAGATCCTCGAATGACTTATTCACTCGAGAATAGGCGAAACGGCACCGACCGTATGTCGGGCCAATCACATTCATCATCAACTGCCTGAGATCGTTGGTTGGTTCAAGAAGACTTCGCAAGCAATCGGTGCCGAGCAAACGGAAAGGCCGAGGAAACAAAAAGAAATTCCTTTGCTCAAACAATGGCAAACGACGATTCTCGCGTTGAAGTCGCAACACACTCGGCGGATGGGGATGAGCCCCAGCGACAAATCTTGCGATTGCGAACTGGTCGGCCGATTTATCGATGGAGGATGATGGAATGCGAAGCGAACGATGATGATGAACTAGATGTGTTGATACATTCCCCAAGGGTGCCTTTATTCTTATTATTACAACTATAATCATTAATTACGATTATTGTCTTATTATTACAGTGTCTAAACATTTATAAAAACACAATAATGATGACGAAGATTCTAATGTCAGAGACAAGCGAGGAGAAATCTACAGATGGCGTAGGTGAAAACCATGCCTTGTGCTTATTACACCACTGATATGAGGCCGATATTGATGATGATACGAGAAATGCATACATTGATCCATGCAAAGCAACCAACCGACATACAACTAGAACGATCATAAGATTTTGAGATTCTGGTGACCATTGAGAAGAACAATAGATGACTTATTAGTGCAATCCTTCGCCCTCTTTTTGAAACTTCTGTATTGAGCTGAGATATGGAGCTATTCGTGAGCCGCTCTCAGCGACTCACTCGAAGGACGTGCTCTTGAAAGGCTGTCTTTATTCCGACAAACACTCAACGATATTTCCAAGTGACAGAAGAAGAAGTGAATGAGCAACAAGAAGAATATTATTGACTGTACCAATGATGTAATTTCCACGCTTATTGTTATTGCAATACATTTACGCCGTGAGCTGGAAAAGAAACTCAATTAGGATTCGGATCAGGATTCGCGGTCGAGGCGGCTTGAAGTACGCGCTCGATCGGAGATGCCTTCGGAAAACTCCACGGAAATCCCAAAAAAAAGTACGGGACAGGTTCGACGCGTTCCGAGAATTTCGTTGAGCTCGACGGAGTTCGGACCTGTCGGCGTTGATTCTTCTTCTTGTCGATAGTGTTTTTTGTAAAATGTACATTTTTGTTCACAATATTTCTCATCGATTCTCACTTTTCAACCAACCATCCGAGGAACAAGCAGACTGGGTAGCTCTGTCGATTCAGTTGTCGTTTGATCCTCTCTCATAAGAGATATCCTCTGAAAGCTATCCATCGATCCGAGAGACGGACGCCGGAGGAAATCAAACGGATTCGTCGGTAAACGATTAATGTTTATGATGAATAATGCTGTACTGAAACGGAGCCGGCGTAAAGGATTGGATAATTGAAAGTTTCCCCACCTCCCAACCTTTCCAAAAATTTCTGAGCATTGACGAAGAGGACTTTTGCGAAACTCCTCCATGTTTTCCCTAAATCGCTGAACTTCCCGATTTTCCAGCGGAGCACCATGACCCACTCCAACCTCACCATTACTATCCTAATTCCTAATATTAGAGATCTTACTACTCCTACTGATTATTACGATGATGATGATTATTATTATATTACAATTATTGATATTGCGGATAATATTCAACATGATATAATTTAAGGATATCACATTGGACCAGGCCTTTGAAGCTGGGTCGTCATTATACATAATAATACTTCTTCTACCAGTAGCGAATACCAGATGACACGGGTCGTGATGATGATTGTCATGACCGATGATGATGATTATTATGAAGATTAATATATTCTACAGAATTGAGAGAGAAGAAAGAGAAGAATCGATATCCTCAGCTAGGTCTTCATTCAAGTACTACTCTCCGAACATCGTCTGGCTGGCTTAGCGGCTGAAGAGCGGCAACGCCTTGTTGTGCATGGCGGCAATACAGAAATTTCCAACCTGCAGCAGAATCCTTCTGTATGTGGAACTTTCGTAGCTTGTTTCTATATTATATATATATATTTTTAGTTCGTTTTGATTCTTTGCTAAGTTCTTAGTCAAGGGGAACCTTTGCGAGTGATGTCAGAGGAGCTGACACAAGTTTTTTCGCGACTCATCCCGTGTCTCCTGACGAACCGACTTACGAGTGGATCGGATCACGTCCCCGAGCTCGAGACGGGCCGTTAAGCGGTCACCGCGGGACATCTATCGGCGCGGGTGTATGATTCTCCGCGGCAAGCGGTTTCGTCGCCCTCATCACTCCGCGTCTTCCCCTCTCTCCCGATCTAGTTTTATGTATGTGCCATATATATAAATGTATCGATATATTGTAGTCGCTCTTGATTGCTAGTAGTCAAACCTGGATTCGGTTCCGGTTCTACAAAATCTTCACACGGTCGAAAAATTCACAGAAAGAGACAATTTTTTTCCGACATTCGAGAGCCGACGGGGTGAAGCTCGACCACAGGGTAACTACACTTGTTCCTTGCGAGACGACCGACCAACGATTGATCTCAACCTTGACGATTTTGTCGCCTGTCGGACTCAATCTCCGAGTCTGAAGCGCTTCTTGGTTCTGCTTCCTACGGGTTCGGTAGCTTCACGATAGAGGTCTCCTAAACTCCGGGAATCAACGAGAGACAATCTTTGATCCAAGTCGATTCGAGCATAATGAGGTCGCTAACCCCAGCGGCCAACTTCATCACCGACGATGAGAACGGGAGATGAAGATGACGATGATGATGATGATGATATTGATGAGTATGAATAAGAGGATCATGATTATTACATTGATATTGTTCTTCGAATTATTCCTGACAACGTTGCCGGACGGTTCAGTCAATTATTATCCTACTCTTATCTCTTTTCCCTCTCATCATGCATATTTAGCAATTTGCGAATCCTATTTCGGCCTATCTTTTGAGTCTCGAGCTTATCACGTATCAAGCAGCATGGAGTCAGTGACCTTTTGATTCTATCTGAGTGTGTGTCGACCTCAAAACGAAATGAATTGAATAAATTCAAACAATTTTCACATACACCTCGCGTGTGATTTATCCATTCACGAAGTACGAAGAGAGCGACCTGCCAGGGATTCGGAGCGTCGATCGATTCCATTTTTCCAAGGGTATTTCAGGGGGCAGTCCTGCTCGCTGAGGCTTCCGCCGGAAACCATTAGATTGATGAAGTCGGGCAGCTTGCCCATGTACCCTACACTCCGTTCCCGGCGAAACCGAATCCCTCGCGGCTGCGGTCTGCGGCGCAGTCCTGGGCTGAGGCGGGGGCATTCGCGGGCATTGATCCCCTCCCTGGGTATGTTACGGATCAGAGCTTCTGCGGATTTGGCGATCGTGATTCACACAGAATAGGTGTTGGGCCCGTGTCGCTCTAAAACTTGGAGCCATTTCGAAAAAAACGGTCTGCATGCTTGGAGTCCCCTATCAAAATCTTTCGGCTATGTGAGTCCAGAGAGATGGAATGAATAGCGCCCGAGAGAAGACCTCGAGCACCCAGGGACCGATTGCAATTGAGTAGCGCTCAAGCTCATGCTTTTATTGATGCATATAACCCGTTATCATTCATAATTGATAATAGATAGGAAATAAGATATATCCCTTTTGGTCAGAGGCGATTTCTCAGCAAATCACTCGGTCCGTCCGTGGAGCACTCGGCGCCCCGAGTCGTGGCACGACGCTACTTGAGTTCAGGGTTGGAAGAGAACATAGAATAGGGGCTTTTTAATCAATCGATGGATCATTCGATTCCGCTTCCGATTACACACAGGTTGGCTCCAGGTCTCAAAGGAACTGTCACCTATTCGAGTAGAAGACACTGGCATATACTCTTCCCTATTCCCGGAAGAAAGGCCGAGTCCGTTACTCTATAACGTGACGAGGAAAGTCTTGATCTCATGACTCATTATTTCCACAGTGTCTTCAATCGCTGCTATGGCGGATAGCCCTGCCAAGTCCATTTCTCTTATGCGGAGGTAGCGTTGGGTTATGAACTCCGGGAAGTCCAAGCGCACCGATTCTCCACTGATGTTCTCGATCCTCAAGAGATAATCTCGGTCGTCGAGACAGGAGAAGGTCACGATATGAATCTTCCCCTCAACAGGACCTACATTCAAAAGACCTACGCCGGAGAACCTTTCTTCAGTGAAGAACACGAACGGCGGGGTCATCTGAAGGTCCTCGGCACGTGATGGAGCGTCACCGAAGAAAACTCGGAAGGTCCCTCTGACTTGCAGACCTCTGCCGTCAACGCCGGACTCGTTCAAGGCTTCGTTCACACCGAAGCGATCGTCACACAAACATCTGCGATGGAGCATGAGCTCTATCGAGCCCGATTGTAGACTTGTGCCGCCTCGGGCTCGATCGGTGAGGAACGTCACATGATGATCCCTGAATCGATCGACAACTTCAGCATCCCCCAGTACGTGTGAGAGAATCTGATCGTCAAGCCGGTGCGAAGTGGCTCACCCATCGTTGATGTTGATTCTCGATGTTATGGGATAGTAATTTCCAGACACGGGCTCGCTGAGCTTTGAGTTCCAGTTCTCTCGAAAGTCTCGCACTCGCTCGATCACATCCCGACCATTAGAATCAGTGAAGAAAGTGACGTTGGAAACTACGTCGGTTCGGATTGTCATGACGAATTCTTTTCCTATGTTATCGGAGACCTGAAATCTCATACGAAATCATAATCTTCATCCTACGCCGTAAACAGTCGAGATCAGGATTCCCTAGCTGTGCGTATTCGAGGCGACTCACATTTATGGGCCCGACGATCCAGTCGGCCTCAACATATGCCTTCGAGGAGTAAACCCGCGTGTTCTGGTAGACATTGTCTGAGAAAGTCTGTCGAATCTCGACGAAGTCGTCGCTGTTAACTTGCTTCTCCCCTCTCAGGACGACAGCGATTTTCGGTCCATCCGGCCGGAAAACGTACGCTCCAGACGCACGCGATCCATTGGAACAAGTACTCTGGTAGTACCCGAAAGTCTGCCCGATCTTCGTGAGCTTTCCTGCTTGATTCCGGGATGGAGGGATATGATTAGACTCCATCTGTGCGGGAAGACCTTCTCGCGGTCAAAGCCGTGGCGAGTTCTATGCCTATCTGCCATCTGTATTCTTCTTCCAGAATCGAGCCCTTGAGACAGATCACCTTTCGCTCGGATCCACTGGATCCCACCATGACCGATGCCGACTTCAACATCTCCAGCTTTCACCACGGACGTTCCATCCCGGACCTTTTGTGCCGATCGGCCAGGGGACCTCCGAGATCTCGCTGGGCTGATCCTCAGATGACGGAACTTCAATGCGCCTATGGTGACGGGGATACAGAGCTCGAATCTGTAATGTGTCACGCTTCGCAAAGATGTCCATTTTCCCGAGCACGAACGAGGACATTACTAGCAATTAGAGGGAATGTCGCGAGCCCATAGCCGTATTAGATGTGAGGTAGTTTCTCTGACGAGGGCGGAGAGATTTTCCCGTGTTCGTGATACGGTCCGCCCGTCGTTCGACCCACGGGCCTTACAACGGATGGGTTCAGCTCCAGCCAAGTTCAGGCTCTGAACGGAATTTGATTGGGCCCGGCTCACCTGGTCGATGACTGTCTTTCGGCAAGATTGAATACCGCATCCGATATTGTCGTCACCGATGCCTTGATTATCGAACCGAGTTCGTCATGGACCTCCACATTCGCATCTCTCAGGGGGAATCGCAAGAAGGTAGAGATATTGAAGGCCAGGGGATTGTAAACCACCACCGGGAGCCCCTCTGGTGGCAAGTCTTCTGTCAGCGGACACCGCGAAACGTTCAATTGGGGACAGAACTCAATCTGTTTGCCTGTGGTTCAGATTTAAAAGTTCGCTGAAGCCAGGCTCCGTCGGAAATCTTTCCGGAAAGTCATAGGGAAGCTCGAACTAACCGAGTGCTGCACCGAGGGTTTTGACCGCTCTTTGGACACCGTCCGACAGAAGTTTCACGTAGTTGTCGTTGACGAACTGCTTCGCTGTGCCGGTGATTGCGTCATGGTGCTGAGCTATGGCCAAAGAATGTCGCAAAGAGTCCAGGTATCCGGTTTGTACTCCTGGAGGAAGGAAGCATAAGTTTAAAGAGGAAAGAGGTCATCTGCATAGGAACAAAAAATCATACATTGTATGATAGAGCTCGGTAGACTCCGCCGAGAACTTTCGGGGGTTTATGTGCCCAATTGCTGACCTATTTCAGATAAAATCTGAGACGCCGCGCGGTAGATCCCTGTGGCCCAACGCACGAGGTATTTGAAGGAGGGTCTGCTCGTGAAATAGCCGGTCCAGAAAGAGTGCTCATCTGGATAGGCGTAAGGGAAGAAATCGGCTCTGTTGACAGAGTAATTTTGATGTGCACTGGCTCGGCTATAGCAGGTTGGCGTAGAATAAATCAAGTTCATCTCGAGGTATTCGCCGTCTCGTTCAACGGTATAGTTGTTGCGGTTGATGTATTCGATTAGCGAGTCCATGTTCGAGAACCATTTGTGAGCGTCCATATAATTGAAATCCTCGCCCATAGTGACCAGCAGATTGTTCGTCCTGAGAAGAAAGATCTGTCAGGCGAGTCGACTCATTCAGTAAGGAGGCAAGCCGAGAGAGAAATTCCGGCGAGGACGCCCTTGTGATTCATCCGGAATCACCTGTAGAATTTCGAGTTATTCCGGACCCAGTTCACAAAGATGTCTGCTCGCTCCTTCACGTTATACTCTTCCGAATCGACGTCGGTCACCAAGACTGGATCGTCACAGCCGATATCGAAGCAGAAGCCTGGCGGGGCTCGGTAATTATCCGGCGTCACAGATACTGAGGATTCCCGGAAGAACAATTAGTGTTTCCTGCTGAGGAAAGGCGAGAGAGGGATAAGGTCCATCGCCCCTTCTTCCCCGAAGGATGTCCGGCGTCAGGATTCAGGATGCGGGATTCTGGGAGCTTACCGGTGATGTTCTTGAGGTCGTCGAATTTCCATATGAATTCCATGTTCGCAGTCTCCTGCCTGAATTTCTTCTCTTGATAATCTATACGACCGAAGAAGAGCTGTTTGAAGCCCATCTCTCTCAGAATCGAGGCGTATTGCTTCGAGTGGCCGAAAGGATCGATTTGCCAACCGGTCTCGACGGCACCGCATGTGCCGAATAAGCGCTGTAAGATATAGGAATAGCTCTTGGAACACGCAATGCCAATTGGAGGTGGGAGTTTCGACCGCCGCGGAGGACGATGAGAGACACTGAGGGTCTGCTAACGATGAGAAAGACCCGGCCGCCGGTAGGCAGCGTTGCGCTATAGGTCTCGCACCCTCGGTTAGTGTGGGAAGAAGTCAAGCTAGATTTTAACTAAGGTCGGAGGAGGTACACATTAAGTTTCTCATTACTTGCAATGTGTTGAGCCCGAAAGACATCTGATCGATGATGTTATCGTACTGAGTACAAGCCTCGTCGTTCATGACGATACCGCCGCTGATGAACTCAATTTGTCCTCTCTCCAGAAGCTCCCTGAAGAGCTCTCGGCTCTCGGGTCTTTTCTCCCACCACATCGAGAAGAATCCAGTTTCCACGAAGATGAATCTGGAAAGGATTGTTTGAATGGATCGTCCAATGGGAAGGTCGCCAGGAATCAGACTCCCCGGGAATCATTGATCGACGGCAGCAGATGTCACGGCCAGCTCCTCCAACCGATCTGAATGTGAATGTTGGCTCGCCTGCGAAGGTAGCGAGTGGAGACCTAAGGGGAACCGACTTTGTGGATGAAACCGAGCCGCAGGCAGCTAGATTCGGAATTTCTGGCGCAGATATTCGCTCCAAGCAAGACGGTGATCGAACTCACCTTCGTTCCTCGTCAGCGGACAGCTCTTTCAGGACCGAATCGTAGATGTATTGAACAGCGTCCGGAGTGACTTTAGCATTGGTTCCATAGTAATATTGCTCTACGGTCTTAAGCCAACCCAAATCCATGTGCGAATGAGGGATCAGGTGGACATTGTACGTCGTCTCTGAACTAGGGGGACACGAGACACATCGAGATTTGGCGCGGGCAATCACTAAAGTCAGGACCAGACAAAACAGTGGCCTGCTCACGCCCATTGTCGAAAGATTGCTTGGAGGAATAGAATATTCTTGCTTCAATGACTGTAGATAACTGCCGCCGAGTATCAGGGATGATCACGCTACGCCGTTATCTCAGGGAAAGGGATCCGGGGGAGTGAAGACTCGCGGGAATCGTCCGCTCTCTCCTCGACGACAAAGAAAATATCGGATACACCATTTTCAGTCGGACTCGATTGGACAGTCAAGCGTGATCGCGCGGTCTGGGCTCTCAATCCTCGCTGGTATCTGATGCTTTCTCGTCGATATACTGACAATGATCAAGATGGCCCCCATCCTTCATCTCCTCCCCCATCCTTCATCGTCGAAACACAAATCTCAAGGCAACAAGTTGGCATCGTTCGTCGATTATATGTATTACTGTGTCCTCAGCCTTCACGAGTTGTAGGAGGCTGTCGAATCGATCATCAGTGTGTAACATCATCGACTGTTGCTCTGAAGCCTGCATGGCTTTCGAATGAGCCGACAGAAGTCGTCTACACAACCATGAGTTGTGCCGATCTTCACGGCTTCGTGGCATCTTCGGTGATACCTTGTCGCCTGCTACCACAGAAACACATTCCGATTTGCCCTGTTAAGGGAGAGAGGCGGTCAGCCCGAGGAGGAGGGACAGACGAACTGAAATACCGAATTTCTCGTCGGGGCATCTCTGCTTCGAACGATGACCCCGTCGAAATTGGTAACAAGGAGCCGTTCGACACACGGGCAACTAGGGCTGGCCGATCATTCGCCTTCCAACTGGAGCCTCGGCTCGAGCGAGAGCTACACTGTCGGAGATTTCGCGAGGCAAACGATGCTGGAACGGTCTGAAAACTCATACTTCGTTGGCGACCCTCGGCGAAACAGCAATCGCAGTCGGTCGTCCACGGATGGAAAAGTAGTGGTTCGAGCCACTAGTCAGTGAGCCCAGAAACTTTGTGCGCTCGGTAGCAGAGCTTTTCGGACCTCCGATCTTGTCGCAAGGAGAGGAAAAATCTGGCTTCATTCGTTGTGGCAGGTAGTCATAGGATTTATTATATACAACTCGTACGTAACAATTAGTTGAGTATTGCAAAATAAAAATGATATACCAACATTTTAAAAAAATATCAGAAGCGCTCAGTCAATTTTCTTCGTCGTGACCTTGTCTGAAGTTCTGCAATCGAGAAGATCCAGTATTAGTACTCAGTAGCTCGCGTAAGAAGCCGATTCATGATCTCCCATACGGAAACTTCGTCGGAAGCTTTCAGTGACAAGGGGCACGATCGCTCATCCAAATCCTAGTATGATCGATGATTCCCAGAAAAGCTAGCTCGTCACCTAATATTCTTTTCCTTCTTGTACCTTTCGAGCTTCTCCACAACATCGTATTCTCTTAGATCGTCAACTTCCTGCAATTCTCCGGTGAGGATCTTATACAGCAGGAATAGCATCTGGGAGAACCAGAACAAGTTCATCGCTGTCAGCGCGAGCAACATCGTGTTGTTGAGCAACGTATAATCAGGGATGAAGCCTCGCCGGAGGAGCACGGTGGACGACGCGTACAGGACCTTCAGGGGGAAATAATACAGTCGACAGACGAACCAGGTCACTGTCATCGCCAAGAACGAGCCTGCTGCGAGAATGTCGTTGAGTCTGTGCGTTTGGCCGTTGCGTACTTTCAAGTAAACGTTCACTTTGGCAAACTCCAATTCAACATCGCAGAAATCATGGAACAGCATGACAAGTGCTCCGATGTTGTGGTACCTGCAAAGTCACGCTGATGATGAGGGTTTTTGTTTTTACTTCCATCGGAGTCAGAATGGGCCGCATCATTTGTTCTCCGCATGCAGGCACGTCGAATGCGCATTGGGATATAATCTCATCAGTGGACAGAGAAGTTCGACCAACCGGCAAACGAATGAGATCCAGATCAGGGAAATCGTCACCATGTGATGGATCCCCATCATCACGGAATCTTTCCGCCAAGCGTCTTGGAAGAAGAGGGCATAGAGTCCGTGGAGGTAGAATCCTCCCTGAATCACGTATAGCGTGTAGATATCGGAAGGTATCGCCGCTTCGGCCGTCCAACCTGGCAAGCAAGGATAAATCCGTCGAGGATCCTGAGGGTAATTCCAATGAGCCACCGCGATTCGCGAGTAAGTCGCGAGTTTCTGCTCCATATATATGCTGGGTGCCCAAGCGACAGGCTGGGGATCCCGGACTCACCATCCCACACACTACTCGGGCTCTGAAAAAATCTATTGTGACCCCCGCTGATCACCGTCCTGAAAGCGTAGCTGGCAATCAATCCGTAGTACAGTAGTTTCCAAATGCTCTCGGGGAGCTTCGCAATGCTCTCTTCCGTCAGTTTCAGATGACGACCCAAGGGCTGAAAATACATTCGCGGTGAAAGAGGTGACTTGGGTAAGATGGATCGAACTCATTATCGGCATCACAGTCACGCCACGGAACACAGATGGAAGAGATAGAAATAATTACTTACCACAAAAATGGTCTTACTGAGAATTGTACGCAACATGGTGAAGCCGACAGCCAGGGCCAACAGTAGTATAAGATCCAATCGGGAGAAGTTGAGGAGGAAGTTGACATCTTCGGATATATCTCTCGGGAAGCGATAGCTTCCGTCCTGATACCTGGAAGGACGAGACGAGCTCATGGGGAATCATCGGAAAATCATCGAGTTGGGCGGAGGCTTCCTGTATCGATGTCGCTCTTGGTTTCAGGGGAGGCTGATTGTAGTGGGCCATCATCAACATCCTACCTGTTGATCGATTTGTTGAAGATTTCGATCATATCGTGCGCCAATTGCCAGTATGAGGGCATCGTTTCCCACGCGTGCATATTGGACGTGACCTCACTGGAGTTTTCCCCCATGCCGGCTTCGCGTCACTGGTCACTGCAATGATTCGAATCCACGTTGGACAGTCTACAGCGACTCTCTCTGATTAGCGTATTTGTTCAGAGGCGGTTTTTGTGTCTCCTCGTGAGCCAAGCGGCAACTTCGTTATTCCTTAGCATCAAGGAATTAGAACAGCCCTTTCTCCCACAAATGCAGGTCCCGAGTGGCTGTACGCATTGTTGGAGGTTGTCCCGTCGGGAGCAAACTTTGAGACGTGAAGGAGGTGGAGGGATGCGACGGTCGGCTAACACTCAGTGTCTAACACGTGGAAGGATCACTTTTCATCTTCTCCAGTTCAATGGCATACATTTCGATCCCTCTCCGTCGTTCGCACCCACTGCGAAGTTGGAGAGTGACATGAATTCCGCGGGAGAAGTTCCATGAGTTCTCCGCATGCTCAGTACACGAGTGACGTTGATCACTACCCCTCTCCCTCTCTCATCGACGAACGACGAGCGCTCTCTGCGGTTTATTCTGTCTGCACCGGATTGAACCAGACCAGAATCAATGTCACCACCATGAGATCAGTGTGTCCGGCGATGAATGGTCAAGTACATCCAACCTCGGGACGACGTGTGACGGGTGTTTACGGGGCAACATGTCGCGGCATTGAGGTATTCCACCGTCATCGTAAGTCGTGAGTAAACCACTGTGATCTACGCAGCATAGATGCAGCACGACAAGATGTCAGGTCGAAGACCGGCGAACCCATGAAATCGTTAAACTCTACTCGAGAACTTGGCAAACTTACCTCCGAGCCTGCACAAGTTTCAGCCGTTGAATGACCTGCAGTAAGTTGAGGTCTGTTGATGCCGCAATCTTCGGTACCCGCGTCTTCTGTACCTCCGATGATGGTTCGACTCCTACACTCTCCCTTCTGCTCTTTCCACAGAAGTTCATTCACATATTAGTCCCTCCCAGAACCTCACAAGCCGTGCCGACGTCGATAGGTTCTTCACGTCTGATCCTCTTCTTCTCTTCAGTCATATGTTGTGAGTCGCACCTTTCTGTTGACGTTCAGCGTTACGTGCATGTCATAAAGATTTACTTTGTTGCTCTAAGGCTTTCAAGTGCATTACGCGAAGGGACTTACGAAAAGAGTCCTGCATCTCAGATTTCGCATCGGAGAAATCCGAAGCGAGTCTTCCTACCTTCTTCGCGTCGGAGGGAGCAAGAATAATGCACACATCAGGAGCTCTAATTAATTTCCTTTGCCGGTTCCCCCAGATAAAGGAAGGACATAGAATAAATGGCGAAACTCCTCTCTGCCGTGCTCGTCCTCGAAATCCTGTGGTTCAGCAGATCGAAATGTGCCGCTGACCTGAGAGTTCGCTCCGGCGAATTTGTGGTAAGTATTCTGGAAACGGAGTGTCTCCGGCAATCGATGGCGATTTCCCTCGGCTCGTGAGCGGAGTTTTCGCTGAAGGCTTCCCGGACCTAGAGCCTGGTTTTGATGTGCTTGAGGGGAAGCTTAAAAAACTCGAGCTATCAGGCTAGAGAGGAGATGCAGATAGTTTTTCTTTTTTGAGTCGCCACTCGCAGCCGTCCGCGTCAATCGAGTGGATCAGAAATTCTGTCTTTTGATGACCATTAGTCGGTTTTTTTCCCGGGGGAACCGCCGTTCCCGATAAAAAAATCCTCAACCTCTTGCAGCGAACTTCGACCATTTCTAAGAATACCGTCTTCTTACTTCTGCAGAAATGTCCTCCTAGTCATTCGTTCGAACACGGATCTTTGCGAGTGGTGTCTCAGGACGATGTCGACGTGAACGCCGTATACGTAAAATTCGGCCGTCCCGCACTTCAAATCCTCAGACGCTTCGTTTCTGCTCGGGATGCCCAAGACATCGTCGACAGCCGACTCCTCAATTTCCTTGACCGGTCGAAACCTGTATATTTAGTGGACAACTCAATGAATCTGAACGGAACCAGATGCGACATCATCTGCTGCAGAACAGAAAAGGGCGCACTCGCTTTCGAGGAGAGTGCGGGTTTCTCAGACAGTTGTAGTCGTCTCGAGGTTGACGACGGAGCTCGGTGCGAAGTCAAGTGGCTGGAGCGGATCTCTCAAGGAGTCTGCCAATCGCAGAACCGGCGAGATGCCACCAATGAGAGATGGGTCGAATGCCAAGCGAGCATCCCGCCTCTGGTTCCCTTCAGGCTCTCTCAGCAACCATTAGAGTCTCATCATGGTTACGGGCCGGACGAGCGCGATCCGAGCGTGAACGTGACACGAGACGTGACATCAGCATTCAAAAAGTGATGACGTGATCGAATTTGTCGATTTTATATGCCGGAAATTACGTCTCTTGATCCTGTGCTCGATCACGTCGAAATCCGATGCTCGTGAGCTTGAGCAGCTCGAAGAAGTGTAGATTTAAATGCTGGAGCGCTATGAAACGCTAAAGACCACTAGTCCATTGAAATACTGGATACTCGACGGACCCTGGTGGATCGACTCCCGAATGCGGAAACTCAGATTCGATTACTTAATCGTTTCCCTATTCTAGTTGAACATCGCTAATTTTATGAGTTTCATCGTGTCGGAATAAAGTCAATATTTCTCTGAAAAATCACAGGGTTTGAAGTTTAATGGTTCATCATCCGTGAGGCCATCCCGCTCTCTGATGACACAGGGAGGTGGGAAGAACGAAAACTCGGTGGCAGTCACGGTCGTGCCGCGCCATCCGAGTCCTGATCTGATTCACCGGTTCACGTTCCTTGACTTCAATTCAGAGCATTGAACAGTTCGTCGACGCGACCGCTGCGCGAATTTCCATTGAAGGTTGCGTGCCCGAGCTGATTTACGCGAGAGCTCAACAATCCGCTGAATTTCCTGGGAGCTCGGGGAATTTCTGACATAGTTCAGTATTGAAATTCCGACTCCGAAACACGTGGGGTCAATAATTTATTCTCGAACGAGACCCTCGTCGGCTTTTTCTAGCGCCGATTGCATACCTAAGAGCCAGTTCCGCAGACGTTGCTAATTCCGTCCATGGCCTACACGGGTCAGAGAATGGGATCTTCGAAAAGAATCCGAACGTTCCGAGGGATGTCCAGCCTCGAACTATCTTCATTCTCGGTATTCCTTATTCCCATGAACGTTTCACCCAGCATCTCAGGCTTGGGGAACATCTCAATCATCTCCTCCACGTCAAGGAAAGAACTCTGGGTACTGCTCGCCAAACTACGGATACTCTGTCGAGAGCCGTCTTCATTGATGCAGACGTAGCGGTGCGCTTGGAGAAGACTCCCATCGATCAGTCGTCTCGCCAGCCAAAGCAGATTCGGGCTGCACTTCAACGGGTTGTCTGGGAAAAAAATTGGTTAATATCTGGATAATCTCCCGGCTCCCTTCCGACAATCTGATCTATTATTTCCACGACCGCCATTCAGCGGTGCATTCTTTGATCACTTATCGCTCGGTTGAGGTTTGAGGAGAGCTCGTAATGCAATCGCCCCTCTGGATTGGCTGTCATTGTCGATTCGTCTCGGTCGTCTGTCATAGTATGTCATTCGATAGGAACGGGTCTTACTCGATAGGATAAGCTGGGAACGGTTCCCGAAGTTCTTGAAAATGGCTTCATTTAGAGTTTCCAATCTGTTATTCGATAAATCCAATCGCTGGAGGTTCGTCAGTCCTTCCAGGAAATCATCCGATATCGCGCTTATCATGTTGGAGCTGCAAATTGAAAAGGGATTCGAGTGATTCGTGAGGAGGATCATCTCTCGCGACGCCATTGAGTTCAGAGCGGATTTCCATTGGATATGGCAGGGGACAGTTGGCCTCGGATTACCTGAAGTCGAGCTCGGTTATGCTCTCGGAATTTTCGGGCAGCATATCCCGATCCAGGGATGCGAGGTTGCTCCCGATGTGGCTGTATTTTTCGAGTCCGCCGAGGTTCGCAGCGATGAAATCGTTCATTTCTGCGCAGTTTTCAATCCGTAGCCACTGCACCCAGAGCCCCTCGAACCACCCCTGGGGAGAGGGATGAATCCCATGAGCGAAATCCTGATAATGTTTCCGTCTCGGTCCTGATTCAAGATCCCCTTGCCCCTCCCACAGAAAAACGTCATCTTGGAGAGTGAGGATCAATTCAGCTCGTGCGAGAACTTACCGTCGGGTCCCTGTGGAATCGGCAACGATTGAACCAGAGAGTTGACAATTTTGTTCCCTTCACCGCGACCGAATGACCAAAATCCAGGTCTGAGTTTTGGAATTTGAGGACTCTCAGGTTACTCTCATTTCCAGTTGGAAAGCTGTCGCGAGCGGTGAAATTCGAGGACTCAACGTCCATGTTGAAGAGTTTAACCTCATCGAAGTCGCCGCTGCAATGGAGGAGTTCGAAGGTTCGCTGGATGCGGAAACTGGCTACCCGCTCGAAATTTCCTTCCTGCGATAAGTCAATGATTCTAGAGACTGGTGATATTCATTGATGGAATTATAATATTATGTCGAGTCACTTTTTGATATCCAGGTTAGAGTGCATCATTGTGAATTGGTGAAGATTATAGCCCTTCAGGTCATGCATTGTCGATACGAGTTGGCTCCGATCCCTGAAATTTTTGCACGACACCAAGACCCCCGTTGTGGTTGTGGTGCATTCACAGTTTATCATGAAACTCGGACAAACTGTCCTTGAGGCGGCGTAGTCGTCGGAGACAGGCAGAGTAACCGCCGAAGCTGGAGCGAAGGATGCTTAATTATCCATACAGCGAAATCACTCAGCGAACCGAGGAGCTGTACTCCTACGCTTTGACCTCTAGCTTTGGAAGATTATGTGTTAGATCTCAAAGGTCGGGTCCTTACCCAAGATGGCGGTCACGAGGACTAAGACCCGCATTTTCTTTCGAATCGGTCCTTCACAAAAACTATTTCTGTAGCGTTTTCGCACCGCTGAATTCTTTCAAGCTTCTGATCGCAAAAAGCGTAAGCTATTGCTTTTTGTCGACGCATTGTGATCCAGGATAATCCCCCGATTCCAGGATTTACCACCTCTTAGACAGATAAATTGAGCTGAGGCATCTATCGATCAAACCGGTTCGATAATGCTGCTCTACGACTTCAACCCTTGAGAGTGCTGTGGAGGCAAAATTGTCAGAGTCACTCCTACGATGGAAAGAGCTCGAAAACGGGAAAGAAATCTTCGTCGCAATCTTCATCTGAATCTGATCGAGTACGGACCGGATGAAAAACCGCACAAAATCGCCTGAGGGGCGCGGAGTGCTTGTCGAGTACGGAATGCCGCTCCATGTCAGTCCGCTTGTGTCTAAATCTTAATTAAACACATCCTGGGATCGGACGGCGAGCCTGCGGTTCTTTAAAATTTCCGGGAACTGCGTCAGGATGAATCGATGACACGAATCGATCGTCGACCTGTGCTGCCAAGACAGCGCTCACTGAGGGTATCACGCGTCATTCACTGGGGCAGGCATCGAAAGCGTCCTGGATGATCCGACGTGATGAAAGATTTCGCAACACATGGAGGACGAGAGATCAACCTTCTCGGTGGAGGATGAAGATCGCCCTGAGCAAAGGATGAATACCGTCGTAGCATTTCCATGAGGCTCCGAATTCCGCAGGATCTGAATATGAGCTGCCACTCAGATGGGATATTTCCGGAAGGTCTCCCCAATAGACCCGCTATCCTCCATGCCGTAGACGGGATGGGATCGAAGTCCCGCGCGCACAGGTATACGCGCCGCTGACTGGACCTTCTCGCCACTAATTCGGATACTCTGCAAAACGTGCGCCATTAGGGACGCTTCAATCTGCTAATATAACGTCGGGAACGCTAAGGAGTACGATTCGGACTAACTAAGCCGGCAGACCTTTGTCTCGTCGATTGCGCGAAGCTGGGGGACCTGTCGTCCCGACAACTCGAGGACAACTGTAACCGAAGGTCGTGCCGCTCGCCGAGTTTCCGTTCGATCCCCGGCTGACCCTGGCGTTCGGCGAATACCGTTGGAGGAGAGAGCTCGCGAGCGAACATGCCGTTCGAGCCTAAGGGCCATGTACGCTCAAAGGGATCGCTCAACTACATTCGCGACTTCCTCCCTTAAGGTTCGATCAGGGCTGCATCGAGACAGGCATGAGACGATGGTGATGCCTTGCTAGCGAATATCGCCTGATATTGATCTCGGGAGTGAGTTCTACGCGAGCTTGCATCGAGATCGATGGGAGATCTAATTTATTCATCGTCGAAACCCTTCCGAGCATTCGCAATATACAAAGGAATCAATCTCCTGAGATCGATTCCGGAGAGAAACCTCGATTGTGTCTCTCATAAGGTATCCTACGACGCGCGTCGTGTCATGATGCTCGTATCTCACATCAAGAGCTTCCTATTGCTGTTTCCGCCGTTCGTTCTCTTTCTCAGCTTTTCGCGCCCATTTCTGCTTCTTCTTCTCGGACAACGTGGCGTAGTCCTCCGCGATTGCCGACCGTAGCTGGAAATTTCGAAAAAACAGGCTATGGGAAGGATACTTGGTCGAGGTGCCTCAAAGAACATAAGGGTTTGGAGACACCGAAAATCGAATGAAATGCGATGGGTCTTACTTCTGCATCGGAGAGGCCCGGATTCAATTCCCTCCATTCCGACCATTGACTTTCCTGATACCACGCGAGAGCAGTCAGCTTGGGAGTTTTCTTGCTCGGTTTGGTGACAGCGAGTGACTTGGAGTGAGGCTTTTTTGGACTCTCACTCGAACATTTCGTCGATTCCTCCAGCTTGACCCGCTTAGGTGCAGACGACCCATTGGAAATCGGTGCGGGATCAGACCTGGGAAATTGAACCACACATTAAATTAGATCAAATTAGAAAATCGAATTGAATTAAAAATTAAATAATTCGGTAGTGGGGCCAAGGAGCCTTGGGTGTTTGAGCTTCCGAGAACGGACTAAATTACCCGTGGACGTCACTCGAGTGAAGACTACTGGCAGCCTCCGTAATCCTCTGTTCTCGCTGCGCCAGTCGATCCAAATACTCCGCCATCTTCCTATCGTATTGTTGCTTGAAGATCTTTACTTCATTATTGAACTTGTTCTGGTCTGGTCGGGACAAGTTGTTCCAGCTCAACGTGATCTCCTCTGCAAAGTCGATATTCGCCTGTTTTCAAACTCGCCATCTCCGAATCGTTGTAAACTAATGCACAGATCAACGAGATCAAAGTGAACAGCGAAATGACCCGCGTCGGGTGCGAATGCCTCTGATAACTCCGAAAATAGAACTCACTATTTCTTTCCGCGACGCTCAAGTTCTGATGCTTCGTGGCGCTAGCTATGCTCTTGAAGAGGGCGAAGCCTGACATCGGGGGTTTTTCGGGTTTGCCCAAGAATCGATCGTAAATGATGCGTTCCTCTTTACTCAGCACATCCTTGGTCTGTAATGAAATCGAAGTTCAGATGGAGGCATCCCCCCGCGACTTCGTCGCTGGTCCGTCCCCTTTCGAGTAAACCCACCGGTTTCGCCATGAAGGACGCAGCTCCCGCGTTCTTACGATGAGCTTCTAGTGCCATCTCGATGTACGCAACCTTTTTCTTATCCTTCAACTCCAACCACTTAGCTCGTAGCTCTTCTTTCGAACTCTGAAATGTTGAGTTGACGCTGAGTTCCAGCTGATGCATCGAGACAACCCTGATTTCTGAATCTATCATTGAGGCTATGTCTACCATTGGCTCGGATTACCAGGCCATAGTACCATAGTATGTACCACTTGTTGGGCCTCCAAGACTCACATTAGCGTGCATGGGGTCCTGCATCTTCTCCGCGATGAAGAAGGCAAGTCCAGAAGTGCCTTTCGGCGCGGTACTCGCAGGAACTTTCGTGGGCTTCACGCCCGGATGAGCTTGGTAGAACTCTTCCAAGCGGGTCTTGTACGATTCTTGCTCTTTCAAGAATTCTGCTTTCAGCTGGAAAATGATTGGCGGACTCAGATTGCGGTACGCTCTCAAATTCTTGGAGTGCGTATACCTCCACCGTTACGTTGACTGGTAGAAGACAATCCGATTCTGCGGTACCTGATTGAGCTTCTTGGGTGTGATTGTTTTGTACATTGCCCCGATTTTCGACACGATTTGTCGGTGAGTGAGCTCTGGATACTTTGCTTTCACCTTCGGTAACTGCTCCATGAGGAATCTGGGGAGGAACAATTTCAGGTCATGATTCTAGGGGAAAGCGTTCGGGAAAAATATTCGTTCGTTGTCACGAAGGGGGCAGACGCGGCTGAGAGCTCCACTCACTTAAAGAAGATCGTTGGTGGTCTAGATGGTTTGTCAGGGTGATATTTCCCCGCAACTTTCGCACTCCGAGGACCTTTGCTTAGCCACTGCTCGGCGTCTTCAACAATTTCCGCCATTGTGCGGTAAGTTCTGCAAGATACGTTCGATCGTCATAAATTTGTAGTCCAACAGAAATCTGAGATATAGAGCGCGTGAGCGACATCAGGCAAGCTTTCTCGGTCTCTTGACGACCTTCCTTTCCTCACCGAATATTGGAGCAAACTTGTTGCCATTTGGTGCGACACTCTTCTGAGTCATGTCCCGCGAAGGCGATTTCTTCCCAGTCTAAACGATTTTCGGTTTTGGTGTAGGACGCATTGAGCGCATTTTGAAACCGAAGTGAAGCTCTGCGGAGGAAGTCTCCAATGAGACGACGAATCTCCTTCGATATCAGAGCGTACCTGGACGAGGTGCCCGATGACATACAGCTCCGCACTTGTGTCCAGCAACACGCTACACTGGTCGCCGCTGTGCGGAGAATATGGTCCCGAATCGAGTCACTTACTCTTTTATTCGACTACACAGGGTCTTCAAATCTTCGACGGTCCACTCGTAGAGCATTTGTTCCCCCACAGCCGGACGGACTTTGACGTCGTCATCAGCGTGGAAACTTATGTTCATCATCTCATCCATCTTCGAATTTGAGAAGATCAGTTAGAAACAGGCCGACCGAGCGCAGATCCCGCCACACCAGAGAGGAACGACGATAACGGAAATAACGCTCCCAGGAAATCTCTTACTCCAGTCAGTGGAGGGGAGTCCCGAGTCTAGACGGGATAGAGCTTGTGATTGGTTCAATAACTAGTCATTAATTATTATCGACGGAATATCCATGATACGGTCTGACCGGGGTCGCTGGCGAATTCAAACGTTCGATAATTCGGGCTTATATCAAGACGAGACCGGAGACCGAGGGGAGAAGCGTCACCCGAGCATGCGTACCTTTTTACCCCAGAGTTCGTTTCGTCTCCTGGGGTAAAACACTGACAACAGATGTTGAACGAGACCTGATGTCGATTCTTCGGCTTTTCTTCTGCTTTCGAAGAAAGACACACTTCTCGCTGCTCTGCCCAGCACCAGCACACGCGCTCTTCTGTTTGAGAGAGGAGGCTTCATTCGTAAACAGCACCCGGTTTCGAAAACTTTGGCGCCATTTTTCCTACGGAGGTTTCCGCGCAGGGTCCCCCACCCTAGAGACGGAGAGGATTCGGCAATATGAAAATAGCGAGGGACTCATAAGATTACTTCACTCGGGGTTCTGCCCCGAGCAGAATCGACCTCGCGAGTCGCGAGAGACAAATGTTCCGGGGGGAAGTCCGGATCTCCTCGGTCACCGATCCTCTCATGGCTCATGGGCTACGAATGACCGTGGACGAGACATGGGTTCGTCGGATCATATTATCATAGATTATCTCACAGAAGGATGATACCTCGCAGACCACCACGAAATGCACAATTTATTTTTCATTTTCTCACACTCAACGCCGAGGAAATGGAATGGGCGAAGTGCACCACACCGGCGGAGACTCCCAAGCCTCCAATCGTCATGTATTTCCCTTGTTGGAGTGGCGACGAGCTGTACTTGGTCAGCACCAGTATGGAAGACGTCAGATAGAAGATAAAAAGCTCAAAAAGGATGAGTGTATTGAAGAATAATGAGACGACGTTCCTTCTGATCAGACTAGCGAAGACCATCGTGAACCCAAGCGCCATCGAGAAAAGTGCCGTTCCGAAAAGCAGCATGACTGTAGTGCTGAGCTGCAGTAGAGAAGAGCTGAACGATATGATGAGAATCCCCAGCGACGCTTCCGTCAAGTACAGAACGAGATCGATCACACGCGGGGTGAAGACAGTGAGACTGGAGCTTGCTCTCTCCATCAGGCTCGGGCGTTTCACGAAAGAACGCCCGCTCATGTTTGACAGGTGGAAACCTGGGAGTTCATGGGTGAATTCGTTGTCTCGCTGCAATGGATGCCGTCAAACTAGTGGCAGCATCTCCCGATTCCGTTCCCCTCGAGAGGGGAACGATAATGGAGCGTGGAAATATCCGATCCGCCCATGACACGAAGTCCTTCTGACAAACCGGAGTGCGGTCGGGCCTTCGGTCCACCCTTGACCGGCTCTCATATTCTGTCTATCATCGTGTATTCGTAGTACGAAATTCCTCAGTCCACAAGCCCAAATCCCCAAGTCTCCCCGACCGAAAATAGGCACGATGCATTCTCACGATGCGGGAGAACTTCATCATGATTTAGGGGTTATCAAGCGGTATATATTCTCAGAGGGAGTTGAGAGGAGGAACTCCCGCCAGTCGTGCGTTGCCTCATCCGGCGCCTTAGCGCACTCTCTTGACTTCTTGTTTTGGCAGCATGAATTGATGAAGCATGAACGCACGAGCATGCTGACTTCTCATGATGAGTCGGTACTGGTCGCGGCCAATTGGAACAGCTTTCGATCTGAGATCTCGACGTTTTCGTCAATCTGAGGGAGAGAGTATTCGCGAAGATGAATATTTTGCTCGTCTCGACAGGAGCAATCGTATACCTTCTTTACTTCCGCGGTGGATACGGACCTTCTCGAATTGTTTCATGCTGGCGCTCGAATGGTTTTCGATGAACGAGTTCTCCCCGGGACTTAAAGTATCACCGAGTTTCCGCAACGCGAGGAGTATCTCGACCTTCTCTCGGTTGTAGGGTTCCAACGCGATTTTGGATATTTTCAAGTCTCTCTCCAGCTCCGTGAGTCTTGAAAAGCAGAAGCGCGTGCGAGAAATCAACAATTAGAATATACGGATCGGTGCCTCACCACACCAGAACCTCCGACCTGAGCTGTTGGAACCTCGCTCCGTTCGATGTGAGTTCGTCCATGTACCTTTGTCGAAGCTGCACGGGTTGTTTCTTCGCGAACAATCGAATGATTTCCGGCGTTCGGAAGGCGTCCGAGATGGCTGCTTGGATCGCGAGTTGCAGGCCATTCAAAGTGTCCACGAGGGTGATATCACCTGCAGTCGAGACGTTCAATCAACCACAATCGAATCACGGTGAAGGGCCCCGTAGAGGGAGATATTCCCATTCGGAAAATCGGCTGGACCGTAGCCGGGACGTTCTTGAGACATGATCCGCCCAGACAACTGACCCTTCAGAATTCTATCGAGTGAGGCTTGAAACTCTTTAAGTTGCTCTACCGTGTCCTGCTTCATGTCATTGTACTCCTCTTCGCTGAGTTCGCTCTTCTCCTGCAAGACATGAAAAAATCCCGTTGTCAGCTCGGGAGTTCGATATCCGACGCCTATTTCGGAAGACTTCGTCGAGTGGTTTCCTGTACTCGTTCAGGAGAATGATCTTCGTGCAGAATTTTTATGGGGAAGAAGTTGTGTCATCGGCGAAATTCCTTCTTCTGGGGATTTCCCAAACTCTCCAGGAGCTTGAGCGAGATTCTGACGGAACTTCAGAGTCATCTCACCCATTTCATTAACCTACTCAACGTACGCACCTGTTCAAGATCCGCCAGCTGATCGACCAGTCTCTCGAGTTGCTCCTCCAGCTTCTTCTGAAGTTGCGTGGTTTCCGCCTTTCCTCTCGACATCTGCAATCGAATGCCAAGCTGATAGCCTCCAATCGCGGGGGTGCAAATCTTTCGATTGTTCAAGAATTCGGGAAATAAAAGACAGGCTCTCCGAATTGCATTGACTTGAAGTCGGTTTTCTCGACGCTACAAGGCCGAAGATCTCTCTAGAGTTTCGAAATCCTTTGGAAACACCCCGGCAGACATGGTCAATGATCGAGCTTTTGAGGAAAAATTTCTCGCAGAGGACTCAGGAAGGGAAAGCTCGGGATCTCTGGTCCGCAGGCGTATTCCACGATTTTATTTTAGAAAAACATGTAATGACATTCAATAACATGACGTCGAGTAATCCTATGGGGGTCACGCCCACTTAGGATCATCTCGAATATTATCACTATATTCACAAAATGATATTTTCACGGTCATTCTCCCTAGTCTCCTCATTTTGTCGGAGTACTGGTCTTGTAGAATAGGCTAGGCCTGGCGCTCCCAGACTGCTCAGTCGGGCTGTTTTTCAAAACGGACTCCATAGCCATAGAGGTGATAGGCACCGGGGAAGTTCGCTCCAGACTCCGGGTTTCTGCACGGACATCGAACGAGCCGGAGAGCCGCTTCATTTTTTTTTCATTTGCTTCCTTCATTTTCCTTCCTCTCGCCGACTTGCCGAGCTCCTGCTTCATGAAGACAGAGTTCTTCAGCATCTCCTTCACGCTGCATAATCGAGTTTCCGCAGGATAAATCTGCTTGACAGCTTTCAGATCGTATTCCAAATCGAAAACTCTTCCTTCGAGGAGCCTATCGTTCTTGGTCAAAGCGATTCTACGTTCGACGAGCGCTGGCGTCGATTTACGGACGTGTTCTTCGAGTCGATAGCAAGCGAGAGTTGGCTCGTTGGCAATGATATGCACGTTATCACAAAATTTATTACACACAGACTGAACCCTGTGCTGGAGCTCCGCGTCCGCCGCCGGCGCTTGACGGAATGAATGGTCAGCGATCCTGGAAAGAACACCGAGATCTCGATTAGGGACTGCCGCCCTGTACCCAGCGCCGGGCTCCCGCTCCGTCAGTAATCCGGGAGAGTCAAACTCGGATGAACGCTTTTCTTTCGACAGTTATTCTCGGGTGTGAGACTCCTGAATTTTCCAATGGCTGTATCTAAAAGCTGCAGTTGCACGATTAGGATCTTTGAGACGAACTTTGGTAGTGGTCAAATCGTATGTTTCCGTCGAGCCCTTTTGTCCACCGTCGGTACTCGCAAGCATCGATGCACCATCATGCCATGCGCGATCGCATGAAGTCCCTCAAGACCCAGCTCGAATGAAAGGATGTCTGCCGGCGCAAAGCTCTAGTGGAACATAGTTCAGTGCATCGCAACTCAGTCATCAGCTGGCTCCACCAACAGCGCGAAAGCTCCCACCTATACGTTCGCTCCTGTGCACGATTCTTCATCAAGAGCTGGATAACATCATGCCATTTCCGACGGCTGTTCATTCCACTCAGAGCGGCTCCTTTCCATCGGAAGCGTCCTGCTCAACACCAAGGGGCACTCTCTCGAGCTCGATCCTACTCTAATGATGTAACGGTGAGTAGAACGTGACGAAGCTCTTCTACGAAACCTCGGTTACTTACATTGTGTTCGTTCCTGCTCAGCCTAAAGCTTTGGCTCGATGTCCGCCCAGAGAAACCACGGATATATTTGATGGACAATACTCTGAACAGTAGATGAATGACTCTACGATTGACACATATTACTCGATGGGAACACAACTCTCTCCCTCGATTATTGCTAGCGAGCTCCTCTCCATTCGGCTGTCTGCTGTTTACAGCTGCAGCGACTGCGTTCCGCGACTTTGAATGAGAGGCGCCGAAATCGAGGGGCAATTTACATCCAGCTCGAGCGTAAGTTCCCCTATGGAATGCATTGATCGTGGTTCTCGGATCGAGCCGTTTCGCTGAGTTCCATCGACCCGCCTCCACGACGGTGCGCCTAACGCACGGGGAATCTTAGGGATTGCTGAGTCCTCTGTCCACGACGCAAAAAGGGTGACAGCGAATCGTTCTGCTCCATGGCTACTCTATGAGTCAGCAGGAAGACCGCAATGCCGCGATACAGGATCCGCGATGCGAGATGCACGAAGCTGGAAGTAATAGATTGCGGATCGCGGCACATAGCGCTCGGAGATGATCTATCCTGTTTCGAGCACGTCGACGGTGCAGCGCGTCTGTCGCAACGATCCCGCTCGCGCGGGAGCGGGCGTGAATTCGATCCCTGCCTCGCGGAATCAGTCCAAGGAAGAGCCGGTTCTTCAACGCTACTTGCGCACAAAACTCAGCGCTCGAAGTTATTGCGCGCTCCTTTCCCAGCGCTCAGAGTGTCAGTCACCGTTCTCCTGAGTAGAGCCTCCGAGATTGTCTGAGGCCCACGTTTCCCCAGATGTCGAATTTTTCTCAATCGATTCGTTTCCACCTCAATGAGGTCAAGATATATTTCTCAGGCTGCTCAGATGCATGCTTTCCGCAAGATTTACGTATTTCTCCAATTATCGTTATTTTCTTAGCAAATGAGGAGCTTCTTAACGTTTTAACTGTACTTTTGTCATAGGTCCACTGAGCGCGTAGCGCCCTCACGGCTAGTGGTCAGTAATATTATCACGGCGATTACAACGATTTCTCGACTAACGATTTCTTCGTATCCTATGATTTGTACAGGAGGCTAAGCAATGATTCTCGCGCGAAAAAAATGCTAGAATCGCGCCGTAGTGCGGTGAGGGAACTCGGATTTTCGGGGAGAGCCACGAAATACCATCGAAAATCGCGGGAAAGTGAAAGCATTCATTTTCATCAGGGGACGTACTTGATGAACTCAAAAGGAAGGAGCACATCTTCCTCTGTTGCCAGTCTCTACGAGTGAGACTGGAAACCTCATGTTCTAGACCGGGGATTTTCGGCCGGGGGTCCCAAGACCTGTGACAAAAGGGTCCCTTTCACGTTGAATGCTCATCCTATGCGGTCTTAGCATGAAATGAAGGATACGAAACAGCAACAAAAAAGTCGTCGACTTAAGCATTCATACATGATCATTATTCAAATCAGATAAATATTACAGTAATCGAGATGCAAGGGCTATTTTAGACTCCATCCCAAGAGCTTATAACCAATAGCCAGAGCCCTCAGAGGGATCATACCCGTGCTTGTCGCGGATGAGCAACCCTGAAACTGTCGAAGTCCTGTCATAGAGCCTTCGTAAGAACAAACCCCAAGAATGCTCGGCACAAGAAGCCCGGCGATGGACGGTGCTCCATACCCGGAGCACACAGCAAAAGCCCTGCCACGAATCAACTCAGGATTTTCTTCGTGGAATCGATTCGGAGAAGCCCAGAAACAGGAGATAGGGAACCCGAGCTTTTCCGGAGTCCGGACCCCCAGCGTCAGGGAAGCAGCAAACCCCGAGAAACTCCGGGTCGAGGAATTTGGAAATCATCGGGGATTCATCCGCGGAGCTCTCACAGGTTCCGCTCGTGGGGTGCTCGGGATAAGAGACCCGAGAATCTCCGTGGATCCCGTTTTGCGGATCGGACTTCGATGATTCTCAGGCCTTTTCTCCCGGGGTTTTCCGAAGTTTGGACTCGTGAGGGCTCGCTAATAGGGCTTCGAAAATTCTCGGGCTCTTCAGCCCAAAATTCTCGGAGCTGATGCTCGAGACGGATCTGTGATCGGCGGACAGAACTCGGACTTTCAAAAAGCGCGCCGAGCTTACACTGACGGGGTGGGAACAGATGTTCGCGCGGTCCGATCCAATCAGTGGCGTCTGTCTGGGTTCTCGAGCCTGTTTCCAGGGTCTCTGTTTGCGTACGTTGAGTGGTAGCGCCAGAACCATAGCCAAGCAAGCGCTTTGGCTTGACATCCTATCGCTGCCAAATAGTTTTGAGCAGCGCGGCAAATATGAGCATGTGGGGACCATGGAGTTCCGTTGATTGGTTGCGACCTCCTACGCAAGGTAAAAGCAGAAACGATCGGCTGCGAGTGATTGTTCCGCGACTTTCTCAGATTTTAAGAAGCCTCATCTGAGAAGGTGTCTACACAGCACGCTCTTGTCATGCCTCTCTGGTAGCGATTCCTTTCAATGTCCCGGAAGAGCTTCTCTCGCGTGCGATTTGCCCCGATCGAACTCGGGAGCTACTCGGCTCTTGAAGAATCCAGACTTACGAACTTCACGAGCTTTTTGGCAACTTATGGACAAATTATTATCGAAAACAGAGAATGGCATGTGTTCGAAAGCCTCACGCTCAGAGACCTTCTGATGGCGTTCCTGTTCTGAAGGACTTAGAGCGGATGGGTTCTTGCCGGGGACTTTGTATTCCGAAGTTTCAAGTGCGGATCTATTTTCTCTTCTTACAGCCAGTCGACGGGAAGCTCCTTCAGTCGTGCTTAAGGATCAAGGTGAACTCTCGCTGTGATACTTTTCCCCACTGACTCCCCTCGATCTGACGGGGTTCATGGTTCCGATAATGTGAAAATTGCACATCTTACAGACTGCGCACTGTTCGGCGGAGCTCCGGAATACGACCGGCTGGTCGTGGCTAAATGTCTGTTCTGCGATGTGGTGCGCAGAATTGAAAATATCGCACAACACATGCGTGAGTAACCTCAGATATTGGCTTCTCCCCACGTCTGGTAATCGAGGATGTGACGTTCTGATACTCCTAATGGAGAACCGTGACCGTCCGCGAGAACTAGTTTCATGTATGGTGGTGATGTTTTCTCGCAGTGGATGAACATCAAAATGAAATCAACAAGAGCACTTCGGAGCTTTGTCACGATCGGGTTCATTCAAATCCGGACGACGAAGCCAACCAAGCCGAGACGTGGTTCGTCGAGAGTCACCCGGTCGAAGACGAAACAAAACTGCCTGCCCCTCCGGGAGCCTTCATTGAAACTCTTGTGATTAAGGTTCGTCGGGGCTCGAATGGAGTACATATGCTCTCATAAGCCTACCCCAAGCCCAATTTATGAACGTTGCCGTCGAAGAGCGGTGCCATTAACTAACCGTAATGTATTCCTGTCCAGAAGAGAAATTCTTCGCGAAGACGAGTGAGAATGCCTGATGCACCCGTTGCTCCTACGTCTGATGAACCTTCATCATCGGGTTGGTGTTCTTCATTTCCTCTACCAAATGAAGAAGACGCATCCGAATCGAAATCCTCGTTTCTCGGGGCGTCACTTCGAGAATTCGAATGGGGGCGGATGCTCAAGGTGAAGGTTTCTTTGCAGCCTTAGCCCTTCAAACAGAAACTTTGAGTTCTCTGAAGCGAAGCTCGAACCATAGTATACCGGAACCCGTCCTCAAACGCAAGTTTTCGCTCGAGAAGGACCGAGAATATGATCCCAATGAACACTGTGGTGTCGTCAGCGAGACGAACGGTAAGTCCCCCGGTACTCCGAGCCGCGATCCCGTGCGGTTTCGAGATATTCCCCCGTGTAGGATCCTCGTACAGGATTGTTAACACGAGAGTCGTTTCAGGCAAACCGTGTTGTTACGCGCTCGGAGCCTGCAAAGCCCATCCGGTTCGACATCGGAGAGCGGTGCGGGGTCGGCGGACGAGTTATGATGAGCTCGTGTTGGAGCACCGGGCTCGAGCTATTTCAAGTGTGCCCCCTCTTCCTGAACGCAGCGGCACAGAGATTTCGGAAGGGTCGCTTTCGGCAGAGTCTCCGGCGGCGTCCTTAGCGGGAAGCAGGAGCGATCCGCAAGAGTTCGAGAGCTCGTCGGAGCTAGAGCATCAAAGAATTCCGACGCTATCGAATGGAGTCGCTCAGGAAATTCTCGAACCTTCCACCACGAACGAGTTCGCTCCAATCACACCCCACACAGACAAATCACCCCCGAGACTGGGGATGCCAAATGAAACCGACGTTCAGGGAGAAATAGCTTTCTTAGCCAGTGATGAAATCAGTAGTGAACTCCGGTCGTCGTGTGAAGTTTCAGCGGACGCCATGGTTTTCTCAGGAATTGACGTTCCCCACGAAAACAGAACCCCTTCGGAAACCGAAGGTCGTAGTAGATTCACTTTCGAAAACTCATCCACAAGAACAGACGGAACCGATGATGTGGGCATGATGGCGGAGGATCTGGAAATAACTTCGGAGGAGATTCTGGCGACCACAAATATGAACGAAGTGCCAATGACAACCGGACGGATTCTACATATCACTGACGGAGATCTGACGGATGACGTATCGAGCTACAGCGACGGCTCAAAAGCGACAGATGGGCTCACAACAATTTACGAAGTCATAGCGATCGACCCTCAGGGGTCGATAGGTGATCTTACCGTGGGAGACGGGGCCACAGGAATGAATGGGGACAATACTCTGCTGGATGAAGCCTTCATATTGAGCAGAGCTCCTTCGGAGAACGGAATTTACGTCGTTGGGACACCGAAGTCCGAACAAACAAACGGCAGCGCATTGACCTACTTAAATGATTTCTCTCCGGATAAGAGTCAGGCCAATGTTCCGAGAGGAATCGCCACGGAGCAGGCAAGCAGCGGTGCGAGGTTCGAAATTAAATCGAGATCTGGGAAAGGCGAGTTCCAGCTCGGCTACGCGCCGAATGGCGTCGGCAAGAAACTACCCTTCAAATACAATCCAGATGGAAGCGCAGAAGCGGCGCCAGCTCTCCTGGCGGACCATGCAGCTTTGTTGGGCCCCATGAGCTCGGATCACATACGGAATCAGG